TATATTCAACGGTGGTTTGATTTGAGAGGGATATTCATCGATGGAAAAACTTGAAGCGCTATTATGGCGTTGTGGAAATTGATCGCCAAATTTGTGTACCTGCCTCATGCACAGATGCCCTTATTTTCCAAGTCCTAAACATCGCATCATCACACCTTGATTTTTGCTACTCCAGTTTTTTGATGTTCGCTACTTCTTACCTTAATGCCGTTCCCTCCACTCAGCATTCTTCGATTTTCTCCCATTCACCTAGTTACTTGATTTTTAGTATAGATACCCATTTTCCGATCCAAATAAACACGGTCAATAACATATCAACATGTCTCATCTACCTTTCGATGCTTAGAAATATCGCACTTGTTTTTCATTCCTTTCTTTCTTTCTGATTCGATTTTTAATTCAGACGCAACAGTCTCTAATTTTTTGTTTCTTTTCCCTTTTCCTTCCGCTTCCAACGAACGATACACACAACGATCTGATATATATGTCAATCTTAGTATATTTGGTGCTCATGCAACAAATTAGAGTAAGTTCGGCTGCCTTATTCTAAACCGTCAGTAGCCCTAACAACAGATAGCATATTGATACTCCTTGATATGAAACGGAACAACAACAAGAGTAGAATAAAGAGATGAAATGCAGAGCGCAACATGAGGCAAGGATGGATAACTGAAAGACGACATCAAAAAAAGCGTAATGGCAAGCAACCGTAAGGAGCCTACTTGGGCGAATAACGCACATGGTCGTGCACTATGGCCAAGACCAGGTGCGTGTTTGATTAACAGTGCCACGCAAAAAAAAAAAAAAAAAAAAAAAAAAAAATGACGTCCCTCACATACATCCTGTATCTGCTCGAATGTTTACATTCTGCAATTTTGTGACGATTCGTCATCAATAACAGCTACAAGGCCTATAGGGTCCACCAAAAGAAAATCGCCTTACATTTTTATGCTGTTGCATGTTCACTGTTTGAAACGTTAATCGCCAGGGAATTTTACCTTAATGTATGGACTTTTTGTCATGATTTGCTAGTGAGAACGTGTCATCTCTGCATTTATCTTGTTTCCAACCAATTTCTGGTCCCACCTCTTCCTTGTTTTGTCTTGTCCGTTTCTGCTGAAAGCAAATAACAGCTCATTTAACCTATTGTTAGAGGTAGAATCGGCTTGAAAAAAAAAGTGGTCGGGACTTGCATTTTTCAATCCGTTTTTTTTTTTGTGAGCATCGGATATACTAAGATCGACGTATTGTGTGTATCACTTTTTGAAAACGGGCAAGAAAAAAAGGGAAAATGCAAAAGTCAAAGACGCGTTGTGTCTGAAACGGAAAATAATATAAAAAAAAAAGAGACAAATGAGACTCTGAGCGTCAAAAAGATCAAAAGAAATGTGTTGAATGTTATCCCTGATTTATTCGAGTCGAAAACTATGGGTATTTTATACTAAATATCAACTACGCTAGAAGCCATTGAGGGAAGTGAATATTTAGACGAATAAGTGAACATCGGAACGTGAGGTAAAGAACATCAATTGGTGTGCAGTTGCGAACTTCAGAAGATGAAATGCCCTATATCAAAAGATAAAAACAATCGTTGATGCGCCTGCGTAGGCACGTTCGTTCAGATGCCAATTCCTTCGACGTTCTCTGGGAATCCTTTCGAAGTTTGGAGTGAATGTAGTGTACCAAGTGTTAGACGAAATATAAGAGGCGAAAGGATGTACAGTATATGAACCTGTTCGCCCACTTTTATTCATTTTACATATCATGCCCGTTCCAGCTCATATCGAATCCGAAACCATGGGTGTGGTCTCATGATGTTGTGAGGGCGTCAACATGCATGATACGTGAAAGAGATAGTGGCTGTTCCTTTTTGTGGATTTTCAAGGAAGGATTATGACCAAGTTCACAGCAGTAATCAACGTACGCAGCGAAGCTGGGTATTTACGAATGGTTTGACTCTGCATATCGGATTATTCGTACTATCTAACATGAATCAACCCAAACTATTACCGCATACATAGCCTATAACTGTTTATATTCGTCATCCATCCTTTCCATTCATCACCCCCAAAAGGATTGGTCATACAGTAGACCATAGATGATTTTTAATTAAACATGTAGGCAAGTTTCCGTCTGTTCGATATTTTCTGAGTGCCTCGTATGCGTCACATGTTCTCATTGGATTTGGTAGCCTACTACATGGTTTAATGGCTTTTCTCCAATACCATAAGCATGAATACCTTATCCACAGCCCTAACGGTTTCAACAGCCTCCAAGTCGAATCTGCCTTCATTAACGTCGACGTTCCTTGATAACATCTTTTTGTACGTCGCTAGGAATGATTGGCAAATGCCACACTTCTTGTTTAAAGGGAAAAGACGAAATTCAGCTCCTGAAAAATGATCAGTCCCAAACAACATCATTTGAAAGCTTCATTGATCTTACAAGATGTCTGCTGGATCCTGTCAGATCGATCCCTTGTTGGTATTTGTTGACAACGCAAAATTTTTGAGATGTTCGTTCCGCCAGTAATCCACTATATTGATTACAGCCATGGTTAAAAATTGGTTGCTTGCAACCGTACATACGTAACGTTACCTCGTCATCCTCCTCATCAGGATTCGGGTCAGGCTGCCAAAAGAAATTCCTCGTTTGGCTGTTCAAAATTCGGTCTTCAGCCTCTTCGCTCCCCACAACCTCTTCGTCGTGCTCATTAATTTCAGGCTAAATAAATTTGTTAGCGAATTTTCTTATATCGTACAGCAGTAATCGATTAAAACTTACAATCTCATTTTTTTCGTCTTAGCGATCTTCTTAGCCCACTAGCATTGATCTGCGCCTGTTGCGTCGTTCGTTTCTCTACGACACTCCAGTTGGCGGAAGGTTTCTACAGTCACATTTCTGTTCATACTGCAATCCTTTACCAACACGACGTCTGAATCTTCACAATGAAGCCGTGTTCGAACTTTTGTTGGAACGACAAGTCTTTGTACTTCTTTTGCTTTTAGCTGCGTCCAGTAATGTCGGCGGACGCTAGCGCAGTATCTGACTTGTAGTTAATATATGGCAATTGGTAAGCTTTCAACCAAGCTACTAACCTGGAAATAATCTTCTTTAATTTTTTTTCGCCCATTCAATAAGGCTTCGCCTGTTCTTCAGTGCTTTTGGCCGATGATGCTTTCAATCTGCTTTTTGAACTCCTTTTCCGCGGTATCGCGACACTGCATGTTCGAGGTTCTGAGGTTCGACAATTTGGAATATCTCGGGATCGCTTGGCTTGTAGCTAGGTGTGTGTAAAAAGAGAGAATGCAGGATGACCACAAAGGCTGCGCAGCGTTTATAATGTCACTTTTATTCATGGTTGGTTTCTGTTCGTGTAATCGGACGCTCTGCAGAATTTCAATGTGTCAATTTGATAAGATATTAACACTGTAGCTCCATATCATTTCGCCATATTGCTATTGACGCTGAAAAATTGGAACTTAACGTACAGTCATCGCCATCGCCGGTTGCGAAACGCCTTGCCATGCTAATAGGGAAACCCCGAGGCTGTCCGTAGTCTTGATAGAATAAATCACGTAGTTTTTCATATGAAAGACCGCGATGAGTGCAATTCAGACCGAAAAATGAATGGAGAAGAAGTGAGTGTAAGTATATATGATAAACACGAAGGAATGAGAGGGATGAAGAAAAATCATGTCTCTGTGTTTCCATAGATGATTTTATACAATAACGTCTCATAAATCAAAAGAAAACGGCAAAACAAGCCAAGATGGTGGTGCAAAATTCCCATTGGCCAGATACAAGCTGGTTTTTGTGTTGGATCATGCATGCATATGCATGATTGACAAAAGAGGCATATCAGAATCCGAAAAATTGACGGGTGTCCGTCCACATCATGACTTCATCGGTTTGTTCCACTCAATATTTCAAGATGTTATGACTTCCATCCAAATATCAATAATCAATAAGTTATAAATTGCGATCCCTTTTTATTATTATTCTGATGTCGTTCTTGGATGTTCAAACTCGAAAAGGGGAATCGTGCTACTGATCACTCTCCTATGAAAACACGTCATCATTAGACGCGAAGATGAGCTGATGCATAATCATTTAAAGTCGTAGTACGTGAAAGTATAGAGGGTTGCGATAGTGGGCAATCGTATTTATAGTGAGCGATATTCTGAATAACTCCGTTGATGCTCTCTCCTAGATTTTCTAGGTTACACAAATGACAACAAATCACATAAATAACTAATGGCGAGGTGATTTTGGCATGCAAGTCACTGCTCACTCTCTCTTTTCCTCGACCCAAAATTTTATCATGCTTTTCGTCTTCAAGTAAAAGCTTCAACAACCTTCACATTGTCGACTACAACAAGGAACGAAACCTTGGCCTTCGCTCGGCTGCCGAAAAACAGTATACAAGGATTTAATCAACGCCATTGTGGACAGAGGAGCACTCGTCGAGGAATGGAAGCTTGATCATCTGGACCAAAAAGATAAAGACTGTCCATAACTGCCAAGAGAAAGATCTCAGTTCCACCGGATGTATTGTAAGCTATCAATCGCAACTGTATTGAATCTTTGACTTTCATTCTTTTTTAGGTCATTGACTTTGATACTTCTCTTTCCGCTGCACAAAGAACACGGCGATGACCCGTTATCCCAGCTGCACCTCAACCGGATGTGGTCAAAAACGTGAAAATCGATGAATGCAGCTGTGACTTGGTTTGGAGATCATGGAAGCCGCTAGAGCTGTTAGCAAGATATTCATCGATGCTTCATGAAAGTTTTGAGGGAAGTCGTTGACTGTGTAGTAGGCTACCAAGACCAAGGAGAACCTGCGACGAAAATGCTCACGTTCATGCACAATTTCCTGGATAAGCCGCCGCCATTGGAACCCTTTGGCCCTGTTCATTCATGTTGTGTGGCCACGATCACAGCAGATAATGCGTTTGTACCCGCAGCGCTGTCTCGGAAGAGGGCGCAGTATCCCAATGGGTGTCAAGCACCCTCAACTCTCCACCGAGTTTAAACTCGAGTCACGCGGCATCACAAGTAATGTACGCCGCCCATCTTACTGCATCATTCGCCGCCGATTCTACAAGAGCGACCCACTATCGGGGAAATTACCACTCATCAGAACAAGAGAAGTAGGGAATTTTGCTGAATTTACGTCGCTGCCATATCTATGAGTGCTTTTTCCTCGAATGAAGACTACGAATTTTAGCATAAGGAAAAATTGGAATGAAGATTTCCAATGATGACATACTCTCGTCGACATGATTTCATTTCAGCAGTCACATGTACTCCACCATTCACACCTAATGCGCGAGCGGAAGAAAAGCGAAACGTTCAACGTCCACGTGTGATAGATTCACCCACAGAAGTTGCAAAGCCGCCGTTTCTCGCCGAATAAGAAGGTATTATGCCCAGCTGTAGAATGTGCTAATGGTGCTGGGGGTCCAGCAAACTGTTATGACAAGTGGTGATTCCTTATCTTATACACCAACACAGACGGTCTTCTAGTGGCGGCTGATCCCGGTTTCGGCTGGACAGTTTGTTAAGAGAATTAGCGTTGCCTTTTCAAGAGTATTACGTGTTCCAGTGTTCTCCCGCGTAAGTAGCAAGGGCAGGATGGTCTTGAGGTTTAGATCGATTCTAAGTTGCTCTGCTTTTTGTATAGATGGCGCGGCTTGTTCTGGTGGTTCTTGAAAGTGGCAAGCGGCCGTTCCTCGCCAGATAAGGGAGGTGCTCTGTGCAACACCCTTGTGCAGAGTATGTGTTTGGTGCTAGCCTTTGGCGTACCGTTCTAGCAAACTGTAATGACAAGTGGTGATTCCTTGTCTTACACACCTACACAGACGGTCTTCTAGTGGCGGCTGATCCCGGTTTCGGCTGGACAGTTTGTTAAGAGAATTAGCGTTGCCTTTTCAAGAGTATTACGTGTTCCAGTGTTCTCCCGCGTAAGTAGCAAGGGCAGGATGGTCTTGAGGTTTAGATCGATTCTAAGTTGCTCTGCTTTTTGTATAGATGGCGCGGCTTGTTCTGGTGGTTCTTGAAAGTGGCAAGCGGCCGTTCCTCGCCAGATAAGGGAGGTGCTCTGTGCAACACCCTTGTGCAGAGTATGTGTTTGGTGCTAGCCTTTGGCGTACCGTTCTAGCAAACTGTAATGACAAGTGGTGATTCCTTGTCTTACACACCTACACAGACGGTCTTCTAGTGGCGGCTGATCCCGGTTTCGGCTGGACAGTTTGTTAAGAGAATTAGCGTTGCCTTTTCAAGAGTATTACGTGTTCCAGTGTTCTCCCGCGTAAGTAGCAAGGGCAGGATGGTCTTGAGGTTTAGATCGATTCTAAGTTGCTCTGCTTTTTGTATAGATGGCGCGGCTTGTTCTGGTGGTTCTTGAAAGTGGCAAGCGGCCGTTCCTCGCCAGATAAGGGAGGTGCTCTGTGCAACACCCTTGTGCAGAGTATGTGTTTGGTGCTAGCCTTTGGCGTACCGTTCTAGCAAACTGTAATGACAAGTGGTGATTCCTTGTCTTACACACCTACACAGACGGTCTTCTAGTGGCGGCTGATCCCGGTTTCGGCTGGACAGTTTGTTAAGAGAATTAGCGTTGCCTTTTCAAGAGTATTACGTGTTCCAGTGTTCTCCCGCGTAAGTAGCAAGGGCAGGATGGTCTTGAGGTTTAGATCGATTCTAAGTTGCTCTGCTTTTTGTATAGATGGCGCGGCTTGTTCTGGTGGTTCTTGAAAGTGGCAAGCGGCCGTTCCTCGCCAGATAAGGGAGGTGCTCTGTGCAACACCCTTGTGCAGAGTATGTGTTTGGTGCTAGCCTTTGGCGTACCGTTCTAGCAAACTGTAATGACAAGTGGTGATTCCTTGTCTTACACACCTACACAGACGGTCTTCTAGTGGCGGCTGATCCCGGTTTCGGCTGGACAGTTTGTTAAGAGAATTAGCGTTGCCTTTTCAAGAGTATTACGTGTTCCAGTGTTCTCCCGCGTAAGTAGCAAGGGCAGGATGGTCTTGAGGTTTAGATCGATTCTAAGTTGCTCTGCTTTTTGTATAGATGGCGCGGCTTGTTCTGGTGGTTCTTGAAAGTGGCAAGCGGCCGTTCCTCGCCAGATAAGGGAGGTGCTCTGTGCAACACCCTTGTGCAGAGTATGTGTTTGGTGCTAGCCTTTGGCGTACCGTTCTAGCAAACTGTAATGACAAGTGGTGATTCCTTGTCTTACACACCTACACAGACGGTCTTCTAGTGGCGGCTGATCCCGGTTTCGGCTGGACAGTTTGTTAAGAGAATTAGCGTTGCCTTTTCAAGAGTATTACGTGTTCCAGTGTTCTCCCGCGTAAGTAGCAAGGGCAGGATGGTCTTGAGGTTTAGATCGATTCTAAGTTGCTCTGCTTTTTGTATAGATGGCGCGGCTTGTTCTGGTGGTTCTTGAAAGTGGCAAGCGGCCGTTCCTCGCCAGATAAGGGAGGTGCTCTGTGCAACACCCTTGTGCAGAGTATGTGTTTGGTGCTAGCCTTTGGCGTACCGTTCTAGCAAACTGTAATGACAAGTGGTGATTCCTTGTCTTACACACCTACACAGACGGTCTTCTAGTGGCGGCTGATCCCGGTTTCGGCTGGACAGTTTGTTAAGAGAATTAGCGTTGCCTTTTCAAGAGTATTACGTGTTCCAGTGTTCTCCCGCGTAAGTAGCAAGGGCAGGATGGTCTTGAGGTTTAGATCGATTCTAAGTTGCTCTGCTTTTTGTATAGATGGCGCGGCTTGTTCTGGTGGTTCTTGAAAGTGGCAAGCGGCCGTTCCTCGCCAGATAAGGGAGGTGCTCTGTGCAACACCCTTGTGCAGAGTATGTGTTTGGTGCTAGCCTTTGGCGTACCGTTCTAGCAAACTGTAATGACAAGTGGTGATTCCTTGTCTTACACACCTACACAGACGGTCTTCTAGTGGCGGCTGATCCCGGTTTCGGCTGGACAGTTTGTTAAGAGAATTAGCGTTGCCTTTTCAAGAGTATTACGTGTTCCAGTGTTCTCCCGCGTAAGTAGCAAGGGCAGGATGGTCTTGAGGTTTAGATCGATTCTAAGTTGCTCTGCTTTTTGTATAGATGGCGCGGCTTGTTCTGGTGGTTCTTGAAAGTGGCAAGCGGCCGTTCCTCGCCAGATAAGGGAGGTGCTCTGTGCAACACCCTTGTGCAGAGTATGTGTTTGGTGCTAGCCTTTGGCGTACCGTTCTAGCAAACTGTAATGACAAGTGGTGATTCCTTGTCTTACACACCTACACAGACGGTCTTCTAGTGGCGGCTGATCCCGGTTTCGGCTGGACAGTTTGTTAAGAGAATTAGCGTTGCCTTTTCAAGAGTATTACGTGTTCCAGTGTTCTCCCGCGTAAGTAGCAAGGGCAGGATGGTCTTGAGGTTTAGATCGATTCTAAGTTGCTCTGCTTTTTGTATAGATGGCGCGGCTTGTTCTGGTGGTTCTTGAAAGTGGCAAGCGGCCGTTCCTCGCCAGATAAGGGAGGTGCTCTGTGCAACACCCTTGTGCAGAGTATGTGTTTGGTGCTAGCCTTTGGCGTACCGTTCTAGCAAACTGTAATGACAAGTGGTGATTCCTTGTCTTACACACCTACACAGACGGTCTTCTAGTGGCGGCTGATCCCGGTTTCGGCTGGACAGTTTGTTAAGAGAATTAGCGTTGCCTTTTCAAGAGTATTACGTGTTCCAGTGTTCTCCCGCGTAAGTAGCAAGGGCAGGATGGTCTTGAGGTTTAGATCGATTCTAAGTTGCTCTGCTTTTTGTATAGATGGCGCGGCTTGTTCTGGTGGTTCTTGAAAGTGGCAAGCGGCCGTTCCTCGCCAGATAAGGGAGGTGCTCTGTGCAACACCCTTGTGCAGAGTATGTGTTTGGTGCTAGCCTTTGGCGTACCGTTCTAGCAAACTGTAATGACAAGTGGTGATTCCTTGTCTTACACACCTACACAGACGGTCTTCTAGTGGCGGCTGATCCCGGTTTCGGCTGGACAGTTTGTTAAGAGAATTAGCGTTGCCTTTTCAAGAGTATTACGTGTTCCAGTGTTCTCCCGCGTAAGTAGCAAGGGCAGGATGGTCTTGAGGTTTAGATCGATTCTAAGTTGCTCTGCTTTTTGTATAGATGGCGCGGCTTGTTCTGGTGGTTCTTGAAAGTGGCAAGCGGCCGTTCCTCGCCAGATAAGGGAGGTGCTCTGTGCAACACCCTTGTGCAGAGTATGTGTTTGGTGCTAGCCTTTGGCGTACCGTTCTAGCAAACTGTAATGACAAGTGGTGATTCCTTGTCTTACACACCTACACAGACGGTCTTCTAGTGGCGGCTGATCCCGGTTTCGGCTGGACAGTTTGTTAAGAGAATTAGCGTTGCCTTTTCAAGAGTATTACGTGTTCCAGTGTTCTCCCGCGTAAGTAGCAAGGGCAGGATGGTCTTGAGGTTTAGATCGATTCTAAGTTGCTCTGCTTTTTGTATAGATGGCGCGGCTTGTTCTGGTGGTTCTTGAAAGTGGCAAGCGGCCGTTCCTCGCCAGATAAGGGAGGTGCTCTGTGCAACACCCTTGTGCAGAGTATGTGTTTGGTGCTAGCCTTTGGCGTACCGTTCTAGCAAACTGTAATGACAAGTGGTGATTCCTTGTCTTACACACCTACACAGACGGTCTTCTAGTGGCGGCTGATCCCGGTTTCGGCTGGACAGTTTGTTAAGAGAATTAGCGTTGCCTTTTCAAGAGTATTACGTGTTCCAGTGTTCTCCCGCGTAAGTAGCAAGGGCAGGATGGTCTTGAGGTTTAGATCGATTCTAAGTTGCTCTGCTTTTTGTATAGATGGCGCGGCTTGTTCTGGTGGTTCTTGAAAGTGGCAAGCGGCCGTTCCTCGCCAGATAAGGGAGGTGCTCTGTGCAACACCCTTGTGCAGAGTATGTGTTTGGTGCTAGCCTTTGGCGTACCGTTCTAGCAAACTGTAATGACAAGTGGTGATTCCTTGTCTTACACACCTACACAGACGGTCTTCTAGTGGCGGCTGATCCCGGTTTCGGCTGGACAGTTTGTTAAGAGAATTAGCGTTGCCTTTTCAAGAGTATTACGTGTTCCAGTGTTCTCCCGCGTAAGTAGCAAGGGCAGGATGGTCTTGAGGTTTAGATCGATTCTAAGTTGCTCTGCTTTTTGTATAGATGGCGCGGCTTGTTCTGGTGGTTCTTGAAAGTGGCAAGCGGCCGTTCCTCGCCAGATAAGGGAGGTGCTCTGTGCAACACCCTTGTGCAGAGTATGTGTTTGGTGCTAGCCTTTGGCGTACCGTTCTAGCAAACTGTAATGACAAGTGGTGATTCCTTGTCTTACACACCTACACAGACGGTCTTCTAGTGGCGGCTGATCCCGGTTTCGGCTGGACAGTTTGTTAAGAGAATTAGCGTTGCCTTTTCAAGAGTATTACGTGTTCCAGTGTTCTCCCGCGTAAGTAGCAAGGGCAGGATGGTCTTGAGGTTTAGATCGATTCTAAGTTGCTCTGCTTTTTGTATAGATGGCGCGGCTTGTTCTGGTGGTTCTTGAAAGTGGCAAGCGGCCGTTCCTCGCCAGATAAGGGAGGTGCTCTGTGCAACACCCTTGTGCAGAGTATGTGTTTGGTGCTAGCCTTTGGCGTACCGTTCTAGCAAACTGTAATGACAAGTGGTGATTCCTTGTCTTACACACCTACACAGACGGTCTTCTAGTGGCGGCTGATCCCGGTTTCGGCTGGACAGTTTGTTAAGAGAATTAGCGTTGCCTTTTCAAGAGTATTACGTGTTCCAGTGTTCTCCCGCGTAAGTAGCAAGGGCAGGATGGTCTTGAGGTTTAGATCGATTCTAAGTTGCTCTGCTTTTTGTATAGATGGCGCGGCTTGTTCTGGTGGTTCTTGAAAGTGGCAAGCGGCCGTTCCTCGCCAGATAAGGGAGGTGCTCTGTGCAACACCCTTGTGCAGAGTATGTGTTTGGTGCTAGCCTTTGGCGTACCGTTCTAGCAAACTGTAATGACAAGTGGTGATTCCTTGTCTTACACACCTACACAGACGGTCTTCTAGTGGCGGCTGATCCCGGTTTCGGCTGGACAGTTTGTTAAGAGAATTAGCGTTGCCTTTTCAAGAGTATTACGTGTTCCAGTGTTCTCCCGCGTAAGTAGCAAGGGCAGGATGGTCTTGAGGTTTAGATCGATTCTAAGTTGCTCTGCTTTTTGTATAGATGGCGCGGCTTGTTCTGGTGGTTCTTGAAAGTGGCAAGCGGCCGTTCCTCGCCAGATAAGGGAGGTGCTCTGTGCAACACCCTTGTGCAGAGTATGTGTTTGGTGCTAGCCTTTGGCGTACCGTTCTAGCAAACTGTAATGACAAGTGGTGATTCCTTGTCTTACACACCTACACAGACGGTCTTCTAGTGGCGGCTGATCCCGGTTTCGGCTGGACAGTTTGTTAAGAGAATTAGCGTTGCCTTTTCAAGAGTATTACGTGTTCCAGTGTTCTCCCGCGTAAGTAGCAAGGGCAGGATGGTCTTGAGGTTTAGATCGATTCTAAGTTGCTCTGCTTTTTGTATAGATGGCGCGGCTTGTTCTGGTGGTTCTTGAAAGTGGCAAGCGGCCGTTCCTCGCCAGATAAGGGAGGTGCTCTGTGCAACACCCTTGTGCAGAGTATGTGTTTGGTGCTAGCCTTTGGCGTACCGTTCTAGCAAACTGTAATGACAAGTGGTGATTCCTTGTCTTACACACCTACACAGACGGTCTTCTAGTGGCGGCTGATCCCGGTTTCGGCTGGACAGTTTGTTAAGAGAATTAGCGTTGCCTTTTCAAGAGTATTACGTGTTCCAGTGTTCTCCCGCGTAAGTAGCAAGGGCAGGATGGTCTTGAGGTTTAGATCGATTCTAAGTTGCTCTGCTTTTTGTATAGATGGCGCGGCTTGTTCTGGTGGTTCTTGAAAGTGGCAAGCGGCCGTTCCTCGCCAGATAAGGGAGGTGCTCTGTGCAACACCCTTGTGCAGAGTATGTGTTTGGTGCTAGCCTTTGGCGTACCGTTCTAGCAAACTGTAATGACAAGTGGTGATTCCTTGTCTTACACACCTACACAGACGGTCTTCTAGTGGCGGCTGATCCCGGTTTCGGCTGGACAGTTTGTTAAGAGAATTAGCGTTGCCTTTTCAAGAGTATTACGTGTTCCAGTGTTCTCCCGCGTAAGTAGCAAGGGCAGGATGGTCTTGAGGTTTAGATCGATTCTAAGTTGCTCTGCTTTTTGTATAGATGGCGCGGCTTGTTCTGGTGGTTCTTGAAAGTGGCAAGCGGCCGTTCCTCGCCAGATAAGGGAGGTGCTCTGTGCAACACCCTTGTGCAGAGTATGTGTTTGGTGCTAGCCTTTGGCGTACCGTTCTAGCAAACTGTAATGACAAGTGGTGATTCCTTGTCTTACACACCTACACAGACGGTCTTCTAGTGGCGGCTGATCCCGGTTTCGGCTGGACAGTTTGTTAAGAGAATTAGCGTTGCCTTTTCAAGAGTATTACGTGTTCCAGTGTTCTCCCGCGTAAGTAGCAAGGGCAGGATGGTCTTGAGGTTTAGATCGATTCTAAGTTGCTCTGCTTTTTGTATAGATGGCGCGGCTTGTTCTGGTGGTTCTTGAAAGTGGCAAGCGGCCATTCCTCGCCAGATAAAGGGTTTTGGTGTACAGATCGAGCAAACTCTGGCGGCAAGTTGTAAAACGTGTTTCAGCAGTACGATGCGTAAGTGACAAGTTCTTTATCTGCTTAGTGAACTACTAACCATTCCTTTGTTCCGGTTGTGTGGAGTGGGTTGCACCGAAGCGGAATTAGCGTCTGTCTTGCAGATAGTCGTCTTAAGGTCATGCGTTCAATCTCTATTACGGTTGTAATATTAATAAGACCTAATGCTTTGCTTAAGTTCATCTGCATTGATTATATTTTCTGTAAAATGGCTGCAAATACCTAATCTGAGCGTGCGTAAGTAAGGCGCCAGAAGACGTAGCTGTAAACTGGAGATCAACTGCCTAAATGAAGAGAAGATAACAAAGCTTAACTGTGATTTATTCAACAACTTTCGTGAATCGAATGAGCGAGGGCGTGCGTGCATGGGGCATTGAAATACAGAATAAGAGAACTACTATGATCAATTAAAAGTTTATGCTAAACGTGCCTGCAAGAAAAAAGCGTCCGAATTGTGTTGCCTACTTGTTTGTAGACCATCGTCCGGGCTGTACCTTTGTTATACATTCGGTCCTTCATCTTCATAAGCCGACTAATGACAAGACGCCTAGGTCATATGTATTTGTTTTACCCCCATCCCCCTCCCTCCTCCGTCGCTGTTCCCGTATGGCTTCTACTGACATCGAGTCGTTTCCTATATGAGCTGAGCTAATTTATGAAAGACGCAATTTGGCTCCCGTAGCATAGTTATGTTTGCCTGGGATATTTGAAGCGTGGCAGGACAACAAACCAAGAAGTACATCGAGTATATCTTCCTAGTGCGCAACGACACTATTATTAAGCAAAGACATCGAAGTTTGTCATTGGCCAATAGTCGCCGTCTCATAAACTATTACCTCGACGTATTGTATGTACTGTTTCTGACAATTTCAAAAAAAAGTTAATTGTGGCTTTCATGGGACAAGATCGTCAATCTTTGCAAAAAGCCATAAACGCGATAAAGATGGAGACAATGAAAACCAGATATCGTTCAAGAGCAATTTTTCTTGGTGTTCGGTAGAACGGGTACAATGTAATGCAAAACGAGAAACAAGCTGTATAGAATGGGGCATAAAAATTGTCTTTTGTGAGAGGGAGGGGTAAGCTATGAACGTACAAAAGGTGTGACACCAGGGCAGCTGGCTGAGTATCTCGAGACTATTTTTATTACGTTTATAAACAGACAGGAAGAGGATTATTTGACAAAGTCGTATCTGGTGCTAGATAACTAATACAGTCTATGATGTGCATTTGATAACCATACTCTTACCAAAAAAGTGAACGAAATAACCATGCGGTCAGTGTTTACGTACGTTCAAGCGAGAATGCCTAGGACAAATCTACGTTCGTTGGCTCCATCGATAATCAGTGCATCGAGCATGAGCTTGCTTTGACGAATGAATCGGGCTGTCGCGCGTCAGCAAATAATCCAAAGCCGCCTTCTTAGTTCCAATTTTTCCTTACCTTGAAATTTCTCGGTCTTCATTCGGAGGAAAAAGCACTCATAGATATGGCAGCGACGCAAATTCAGCAAAATTCCTACTTCTCTTGTTCTGATTAATTTCCCCGATAGTTGTTCACTCTTGTGGAATCGGCGGCGAATGATCAATATGATGGGCGGCGTACATTACTTGTGATGCCGCATAACTCGAGTTTAACTCGGTGGAAAGTTGAGAGTGCTTGACAACCATTGGGATCCTGCGCCCTCTTCCGAGACAGCGCTGCGGGTACAAACGCATTATCTGCTGTGATCGTGGCCACACAACATGAATGATCAGGGTCAAAGGGTTCCAATGGCGGCGGCTTATCCAGGAAATTGTGCATGAACGTGAGCATTTTCGTCGCCGGTTCTCCTTGGTCTTGGTAGCCTACTACACAGTCAACGACTTTCCTCAATTTTCATGAAGTATTTGATGATTACCTTGCTAACAGCTCTAGCAGCTTCTATGATCTCCAAACCCAAGTCAAAACTGCATTCAACGATTTTGATGTTTTTGACCACATCCGGTTGAGGTGCAGCTGGGATAACGGGTCATCGCCGTGTTCTTTGTGCAGCGGAAAGAGAAGTATCAAAGTCAATGACCTAAAAGAGATGCGTCAAAGATTCAATACAGTTGCGATTGATAGCTTACAATACATCCGGTGGAACTGAGATCTTTCTCTTGGCAGTTATGGACAGTCTTTATCTTTTTGGTCCAGATGATCAAGCTTCCATTCCTCGACGAGTGCTCCTCTGTCCACAATGGCGTTGATTAAATCCTTGTATACTGTTTTTCGGCAGCCGAGCGAAGGCCAAGGTTTCGTTCCTTGTAGTATTCGCCAATGTGAAGGTTCTTGAAGCTTTTACTTGAAAGACGAAAGGCACGATAAAAAATTTTGGGACGAGGAATAGAGAGAGTGAGCAGTGATTTGCATGTCAAAACCACCTCGCCATAGTTATTTATGTGATTTGTTGTCATTTGTGTAACCTAGAAAATCTAGGAGAGAGCATCAACGAAGTTATTCAGGATATCGCTCACTATAAATACGATTGCCCACTATCGCAACCCTCTATGTTTTCACGTACTACGACTTTAAATGATTATGCATCAGCTCATCTTCGCGTGTAGTGTTGAAACGTTATCATAGGAGAGTGATCAGTAGTACGATTCCGGTAGCGCTTTCTTGATAGTCCGCCATAACAAACTGTATATACAGCTCCTATTCCGAAAGACGCATCAAGCACGAAACAGGATTTGAGGGAAATAGGTGGCGAAGGCAGGGAAAATTAACTTGCTAAAAGATCATATGTTAGATAGAGAAACGCGAAAACAAAGCCAGGTAGTATGGTGTTATGGGATGATTTTCATGTCGATGTGAAATAGAACCGCAAGATAAGTCGAAAGAGAAGTGATGAAGCAAACCGTAGCATTAAACAGCATGTTGCTTTTATTCCTGATTAGAAACACTCGCTGGGTAATATTGTCGCTACCAATTATGCGTATGACACGTTTGTACTGTAAAAGTTGATTCATATTTAGCTCACCATTTTATCATCTTTTGATATGCAATTGAAGTTTACCTGAGCTCTTTCCATACAAAGCATGTACTATATGAATTATTTAGTGCGAAGAACAACTTGGACAAAATCTCCTGTTGAACAAAGTTGAAGAGTAGTCGATGCAGGTACATTGATTCAATAGCTGATAATGGATAAACCTCTGGCTTCCAACACTGACCCATTGGACTTTGTGGAACACTCAACTTGTTTATAGAACACTGATTACTATGTAGAGTACTGTATGCACATTATTAAAGGAAACGCAAATCCCCGAAAACCTGCAAAAAGCTTGGTATCTCAACGAAGATGTCCTTATTATTGCGGAAATATTGACAAGCCATCGCACAGATTTTAGCGTGCGCAAGCGCAGGAAAGCAAAACGTTCAACGTTTATGTGTAATGCATGGTCCCCTCCGGGGAAAGCGGCAAGCGGCTGTTCTTCGCCATATAAAGGACTTTGGTGTATAGCTCGAGCAAACTCTGGCGCCGAATAGTTGTAAAACATCTTTAACAGTACTCTGCGTAAGTGACCAGTTGGTCTCTGTTTTAGTAGAATGAATAACTGACACTCCTTTATTATCATTTGTGCGCAATGGAACCCCCAAGGAAATGATCTGCGTGTATCTTCAGACGCTCCTTTATGAAATCATGTATTGCGTGTGTTAAGTACTGTTGTGATATTAGCGAAGCCTAGTACTTTTGTCATTTTTATCTTCATTGATTGCTTTTTCTATGAATGGCTGAAAATGCCTACTCTGAGTGTTTGACATGTAAGGCGCCGAAAACCGGACTGTGAACTGCAGAACAGCTTGAACAAATTGATGAAGTGATGATTATGGACACCTGTCATCTTTCGATTCTGACGTACCTCTTTTGTCAATGCATGTATGCATGATCCAACACAAAAACCAGCTGATATCCAGCCAATTGGGAATTTGCACCATCACCTCTGCCTCTTTCGCCTTCCCTTGTGATTTATCAGACATTGCCACCGTATATAAATCATCTATTGGCAGCAGATACACTTTTTTTCTTCGTCTTTCTCAGTACCTTTTTGCTTATTATGCGGACTTAGACTTTTCCTCGGATCCGAATTGCACTCGCCGCGTCTTCCATATGCAAAACTACGTGATTTAATTTATCAAGATATGCACAGCCTCGGGTTATTTCCTATTTAGAATGACAAGGGATTTCGCAACCAGCGATGGCGATGACTGTACGTTAAGTTCCAATCTCTCAAGGCCAATAGCAGTATGGCGAAATCATATTGAGCTACAGTGTTGTTATCTGTATCAAAATAAGACACTGAAATTCTGCAGATCGTATGGTTACACGAACAAAAGCCAACCACATGAATAAAAATGACGTTATAAACGCTGATCTGCCTTCGTGCCCGTTGTTCGCCCTCTTTTCACTCACACACCTACTTATCATGTTGTTCTTCCTGCGACGTGATCCAGAAAAACTTCAAATTGTCGATTTTTACAAACACTCAAACATGCAATGTCGCCAGATTGCGGAGAAGGAATTTAGAACACAAATTGAAAGCATCATCGTACAAAAGCATCTGAAAAACAGACGACGACTCGTTGAATGGGCCAAAAAGATTAAGAATGATAATTTCCAGGCAAGTCGCTTGGTTGACTGTTTACCAATTGCCAGGATATCAACTACAAGTTAGATTCTCCGCTCGACGTCTGCCGAACACTACTGGACGCAATTGAAAGAAAAAGAAGTACAGCCACTTGTCGTTCCGGAACAAGTTCGATTGCCCTTTCGTTCTGAAGTTTCAGACGTCATCTTAAAGAAGGCTTCCAGTATGAATGGATTGTGGTTGTATAAAGCTTCCGCTAACTGGGTTGTCATAGAAAAACGAACCGCGCAACAGGCGCAGATCGAAGCCGGCGGCGTGAGAAGATCGCCTAGACTGCAGAAAAAGATCGAACTTGTAAGTTTGTGTCGATTATATATTGCTGTATGATGTAAGAACGTTCGCATTAACAGATTAGCTAAGCTGAAAGTTGATGAGCATGACGAGGAGGTTGTGGAGATCGAAAAGGCTCAAGCCCAAAACTCGAAAAACGCAACGAGGAATTTCTTTTGGCTGCCTGGCCCAGGCGTAATTCAAGAAATATCGAATCCTGATAAGAAGGATGACGAGGTAGCGCCGCAAATGTACAGTTGCGAGCAGCCATTTTAACCATGATTGTGCATTAATATAGTGGTTGATCGGCGAAGTCAACCTTTCAAAAACTTTGCATAAACACCACAATGATGTAGTGAACAAATGCCAGGAGGTAGATCTGTCAGATCCAGCTGAGATCTTGTAAGATCAATGGGGCTTTCAAATCATATTGCTAGGGACTGATCATTTTTCAGGGGCCTGAATTACATCTTTTTATTCCCATTAAACAAGAAGTGCGGCATTTGGCCCAGCATTCCCAACGAATTGCAAAAAGATGTGATCGTGCAAATTAACATTGACGAAGGTAGATCCGACTTGCCATGGGAGGCTATAGAAGCCGTTAGAGCCATCAATAAGGTATTTGTGAATATTTCATGGAAGTTGAGGGAAATCGTTGACTGTGTAGTAGGCAACCAGGAGCAGGGATAATGTGCAGCGAGGAATTCTGTCAATTATGCAAAGTTTCCTGGACAAGCCGCAGCTGGAACCATTCGGGAACTGTCTTTTCACGTTGTATGTATCATCTTTTGCTAACTTTCAATGAATATGGCTGACTTTCCGAAAGAGTGAATAATTATCAGGGCGATCGTTCGTCGGAGCAAGAGGAGTGGCAATTTGCGGAGTGCACTTTGATGCCGTATCTTCGAGCCATTTTTCCAGCAAACGAAGACTTTCAAATATCGGGGTAAGAATAAATTGGAACATGACTTATTGATGATTTGCTAAACTGCGACAGCCCAACACGTTCCTCAAAAGCGGCAAAATTTTTTTATAGCATGGCAGACACAACTTTAATTGCTCCCAAACCAGATGTAGTCATTTCCAAGAACGATATGGAATTCCTTGCTGGGGAATTCAAGTGCCCCAATAAGAAGTGTGTCGGCGTTTACAATGATCTGGTAAAACTTGGCAACGAGTTAAAGTTCATGCTCGATGCAATAATATATGATGGAGCCGATGAAGCTGCACTTGTCGTGGGCATCTTGCTTGAAGGTATGTAAACACTGGCCTCCATCGTTTTCTGGATCTCGTTCGTTAATAAGTGTATAGGTGTCAAATGTAGGACATATAAGTTGGACCTTGACTATAATGGAGTATATCGCCTGATAGAACTGTCTTGTTCGGACCTTATGACCAGTGACTTTGATTTCTACCCGGCCATATCAATCTTCGAAAATATCGCACAGCTCAAGGTAATCTTCATCCATCATTTCTATTAAGAGAGCTTTACCAACAAAATGTAGAACCTCATCATCAAGTCTCCGCAAAGAAAACAGCCATTTTCTTGGCTAAGAAAGTCATTCCTTCCACCATGTGACGTACGAATCTAGTTTATATTTTTCGCTTGTATATACTTTGAATAACACTACGAAGGTGACTTTAGGATGATTAAACAATGATGACCCATGAATTTGTTACCTCCTTGAAGCTGAGAGTCGATAGGTCAGGTAGACTTACAGTAGTATAACATCATATTAGTTTCTATGCATAAGTCGATATGGATAACTCTTAAACATATCCAAGTAACTTGGTTTATATTGCCTGGTTTATGCGTCTTTTGACCATAATGATATGCAAATTCACTGATCGATTGACCTTTCAGATTGAACATCAACTTCAACGATTACATATCGCTACAACGGTTCGACGAACTTGTAGTACAATGCATGCATTTGTTGTAGCAAGTGGAGCAAGGTATATTTCTAGTATATCCACTGAGCTGTCTTCATAGATGTCAACAAGATCTATCGTACCAAGTCGTTCATTTCGGGACGCCTTTAATGAGCACATGGTCGATGTTTTGATCCCTGGCCGATATATGTGTATTGCAGAATCGATGAATCAGTGGCTCGGGGCTGGTGTATCCAATCTGAAGGAAGTTCCTCGGAAGTCGCACTCCATCGGCCAAATGAATGCATTGCCGAAAATACTAAGTGTTGTATAATTCGGTTGGATTTTATTGGTGACCCTGTGGCGAGAAATTCGACGATACTGATAGAAACTTTGTGGCTACAGTCAAGCGTTTGTGAACCTTGGTTTCACACCGGAGGAACAATCATCGTCGACTCATGGTTCGAGTCACCAGAAATGGTTCGGAAGCTAAATGCGCACGTCGCAGGGCGGAAGGAATGACTTTCTTAACCAATAAGATGGCTCTTTCCTCTTTTTGGGACGCTTTAATCGCCAAATTCTACATTTTTGTTAGCAAAGCTCTCTTAATAAAAATGATGGATGAAAATTACCTTGAGCTGTGCGATATTTTCAAAGAATGATACTGACGGGTAGAAATCAAAATATTTGGTCATCAGGTCCGAACAAGACAGTTCTACCAAGCGATATACCCCGTTGTAATTCAGGTCCAATTTATAGGTCAAGCACTTTACTCCTATACACTTTTTAACGAACGAGATCAGAAAACGATGAGACCAGTGTTTACATACCTTCAAGCAAAATGCCTACAACATATGTACTGTCATTATTTCCATCATGAATGAGCGTATCCAGCATGAACTTGAGCTCGTTGCCAAGTTTGATCAAATCATTGGAGACGCCCGCACATTCTTATTCGGCCGCTTAAATTCCCCGGCAAGGAATTCTATATCGTTCTTGGAAATGACTATATTGGGTTTGGGGGCAATTAAGGTGGTGTCTACCATGCTGTAAAACAATTTTGCCGCTTTTGAGGAACGTGTTGGGCTTGCAGTTTAGCAAGTCATCAATAAGTCGTGTTCTTTGTTCCAGTTTAGCAAGTCATCAATAAGTCGTGTTCTTTGTTCCAGTTTATTCTTAACCTAATATTTCAAAGTCTTCGTTTGCAGGAAAATGGGCTCGAAGGTACGGCATCAAAATGCGCTCTGCAAATTGCCACTCCTCTTGCTCCGACAAACAATTGCCCTGATAATTATTCACTCTTTCGGAAAGTCAGCCATGTTCATTGAAAGTTAGCAAAAGATGATAATTCAACGTGAATAGACAATTGCCAAATGGTTTTAGTTGCGGCTTCTCAAGGAAATTTCTGCATAATCGTTAGAATGGTTCGCTGCACATTCTCTTTGGCCTTGGTTGCCTACTAAAAAGTCAACGATTTCCCTCAACTTCCATGAAATTTTGATAATACCTTATTGACAGCCCCAACGACTTCTATAGCTTCCGATGGCAAATCAAGCCTGCCTACATCAATGTTAATGTCCTTGATCACATCTTTTTGGGCGTCGCTAGGAATGATGGGCCAAATGCCGCAGTTCTTATTTAATGGGGAAAAAAAAGATGAAATTCAGGCCCCTGAAAAATGATCAGCCCCAAGCAATATGATTTGAAAGCCCCATTGATCTTACAAGATCTCGGCTGGATCTGACAGATCTACCTCCTGGCATTTGTTCACTACATCATTGTGGTGTTTATGCAAAGTTTTTGAAAGGTTGACTTCGCCGATCAACCACTATATTAATGCACAATCATGGTTAAAATGGCTGCTCGCAACTGTACATTTGCGGCGTTACCTCGTCATCCTTCTTATCAGGATTCGATATTTCTTGAATTACGCCTGGGCCAGGCAGCCAAAAGAAATTCCTCGTTGCGTTTTTCGAGTTTTGGGCTTGAGCCTTTTCGATCTCCACAACCTCCTCGTCATGCTCATCAACTTTAAGCTTAGCTAATCTGTTAATGCGAACGTTCTTACATTATACAGCAATATATAATCGACACAAGCTTACAAGTTCGGATCTTTTTCTGCAGTCTTGGTGACCTTCTCACCCCGCCGGCTTCGATCTTGCGCGGTTCGTTTTCTATGACAACCTAGTTAGCGGAAGCTTTATACAGTCACGTTTCATCCATACTGGGATTCTTCACTAAGACGACTTCTGAAACTTCAGACTGAGACTGTGTTTGAATATTTTTGCTGGATTGAGAAGCCTTCGTACTTTTTTTTTGCCTTTGGCTGCGTCCAGTAATGATCGGCAGACGCTGAGCGGAGATCTGACGAGTAGCGTAATGTATTGTGATGCCACAGGTAAACCGTCAACCAAGCTACCAACCTGGAAATTACCAGCTTTTTTATTTGCCCATTTGACGAGTTTTATCTGTTCTTCAGATGCTTTGGAGCTATGATGTCAATCTCCTTCTGGTCTCCCCAACCTCGACTGCATGTTTGAATGTTTCTAAAAATCGACAACTTGAAGTTTCCGGGATCATTTCGCAGGAAGAAAAAGGCATATATGTGGAAAGAGAGGACGAACAAATGGGCACGAAGGCTACGCAGCGCTTATAACGTCATTCGCATTCATGTGGTTGGCTTTCGTTCGTGTAACCGGACGCTCTAAAATTTTTTAATGCGGTTATCTTTGATACAGATATCAACAGTGTAGCTCAATATGATTTCGCCATACTGCTATTGACCCTGAGAGATAGGAACTTAACGTACAGTCATCCCCATAGCCGGTCGCGAAATGCTTTGCCATGTTAAATAGGGAAACCCGAGGCTGTGCATAATCTTGATAGAATAAACCACGCAGTTTTGCATATTAAAGACGCAGTGAATGCAATTCAGACCGAAAAATGAATGGAGAAGAAGTCGAGTGTAAGTATATATGATAAACACGAAGGAATGAGAGGGATGAAGAAAAATCATGTCTCTGTGTTTCCATAGATGATTTTATACAATAACGTCTCATGAATCAAAAGAAAACGGCAAAACAAGCCAAGATGGTGGTGCAAAATTCCCATTGGCTAGATACAAGCTGGTTTTTGTGTTGGATCATGCATACATGCATTGACAAAAGAGGCATATCATACTCCGAAAGATTGACGGGTGTCCGTCCATATCATCACTTCATCAGTTTGTTCCAATCAATATTTCAAGGTGTTATGACTTTCATCCAAATATATAGGTTATAAATTGCGGTCCCTTTTTATTATTATTCGGATGTCGTTCTTGGATGTTCAAATTTGAAAAGGGGGGAATCGTGCTACTGATCACTCTCCTATGAAAACGCGCCATCATTACACGCGAAGATGAGCTGCTGCATAATCATTTAAAGTCGTGGTACGTAAAAGTATAGAAGGTTGCGATAGTGAGCAATCGCATTTATAGTGAGCGATACTCTGGATAACTCCGTTGATGCTCTTCCTAGATTTTCTAGGTTATACGAATGCAAGTCACTGCTCGCTCTCTCTTTTCCTCGTCCCAAATTTTTTTATCGTGCTTTTCGTCTTGAAGTCCTTCACATTGGCGAATACTACAAGGAACGAAACCTTGGCCTTCGCTCGGCTGCCGAAAAGCAGTATACAAGGATTTAATCAACGCCATTGTGGACAGAGGAGCACTCGTCGAGGAATGGAAGCTTGATCATCTGGACCAAAAAGATAAAGACTGTCCATAACTGCCAAGAGAAAGATCTCAGTTCCACCGGATGTATTGTAAGCTACCAAATCGCAACTGTATTGAATCTTTGACGCTCATTCTGTTTTAGGTCATTGATTTTGATACTTCTCTTTCTGCTGCACAAAGAACACGGCGATGGCCCGTTATTCCAGCTGCACCTCAACCCGATGTGCTTAAAGACATCAAAATCGATGAATGCAGCCCTGATTTGGAGATCATAGAAGCTGCTAGAGCTGTTAGCAAGGTATCCATCAATGCTTCATGAAAGTTGAGGGAAGTCGTTGACTGTTTAGTAGGCTACCGAGACCAAGGAGAACATGCGACTAACAATGTTACCTTTCGTGCACAATTTCCTCGATAAGCCGCCGCCATTGGAACCTTTTGACGACTGTCTATTCATGTTGTATGACTCAATTTCGTTCAGCTTAGCCACGATCACAGCAGATAATGGGTTTGTACCACATCGCTGTCTCGGAAGAGGGCGCAGGATCCCAATGGTTGTCAAGCACCCTCAACTCTCCACCGAGTTTAAACTCGAGTTATGCGGCATCACAAGTAATGTACGCCGCCCGTCATATTGCATCATTCGCCGCCGATCCCACAAGAATGAACAACTATGGGGGAAATTACCACTCATCAGAACAAGAGAAGTAGGAATTTTGCTGAATTTGCGTCGCTGCCATATCTATGAGTGCTTTTTCCTCCGAATGAAGACTTCGAATTTTAGTATAAGGAAAATTGGAATGAAGAACCCGGCTTTTTGATCATTTGTTTACCTGCGGCAGTCCAACTCGTTCGTGAAAGAGGCGAAGATCTGGCAGACACTATGTGGATTGGCCCCAAACCCGACGCAATGATATCAAGGAATAACATGGGAATGGATTGCCGTCAAGTTTAGGAAGCCAAATAAAAAATGCTCGGCATATATAACGACTTAACAAAACTTGCCAACGAGTTAAAGTACATGTAAAATGTTTTGACCCATAACGGACGGGCTAAAAATGTATACGTTGTAGGCATTTCTACTTGAAAGCATTTAAACATTGATCCTATATACGTCTTGGTCTCACTCGTAACAAGCCGTACACCCGCTGTGCAATGGATGCCACCTGCTACTGGATGCCGCACTCTTACATTGAGCGACATTCGTCAGACAAAAGCCTAACGCAATACGGCATAACCTGGGCGAGACTCTTGATGGAACTTTGGTATATTAATGTCAATACTCTGGCATACCATGAAACACTTTTAATGAACAAAGCAGCACTTATTGACCCCCTCCGTTCTGTCCCGCCCAAGGTTATGATAGATCTACAAAGATGTGTGGGAATGTTGGGTATTTAAAAAAAATGAGTTAGTAAGCTCTTTGGTTGATTCAAATTTCGTTGAGATATTTTACCTTTGATGTTTGATGCAGCAGATACCGAGGGCTTCCCGACCGAAATAAAGAAAGGATACAAATATAAAAAAAAAAGTAAATACAATAGGTGCGTCTGTAAAAACCCCCTAAAAACCCTGTGGGAAAAAAAAGGAGGAAAAGACTGCAAGAAGACTATTCACTAAAATACAAAATACATACTACAACTACAAAATAAAATGGTCGGGAAGAAATATCGAAGACGATACCACGGGCAGCAATCCATATGAGAGGAACCTGGGGAGGACGCGTCAGCGTTTCCCAATGAAAAAGAGAGTCACACCACCGACGATGCCTTTCACGACAAAAACCGGTTTGGCCACATTTGAGCGCGAACAAAGTAGAAAGATTTGGAGGGATGGATGACTTGCCAAGCGAAAAGAAAACCGGAGAGAAAACCAAAAGCTAAAGAAGGGGTAGAGAAAAAAGAACGTGAGTTTTTTCTTGTCGAAAAACGAATAGTCACATCACACAAAAGGTACCTTTTTGATAATACTCGACTTGACCGGTTACAGATAGACGCCGGATACACCATAGTCTGGATAATGGATGATGGATGTGGATGCGGGTGAGGATGCAATGATAGTGAGGGCTTTTCAGGTAAACGGAAAGAGGGAGAAAACCAAAGGAAAAAGAAAAAATTGAAGACAAAATGAATGAGTTCCCATGGATGAAACAATAGTCACTCTGCCAATGCAAGAATGATGATCAGGTCAACCACATGGGCCAAAAAGTGGAACATTTGCGGTTGGTTTACCTTTAAATCAAACATTGTGCCGAAATAAAATATGTATACGGACCACACGTAAGCTTCTTCTTCGATGCGGAAAAGAAAATTGCTTGCAGAAACAGTTAAGCGGCGGAATATTTTTGGGGCGGTGGTGTCACCTTGAGCAGGGCCAAGATATTGATGTGGTCAGAAGTGCCGGTAATTTCGAGCTGGAGGCCAGATATCGATAGTTTTCCCGAGTAAAAATAAAAGAAAATAAAACTTGCGTCAGTAAAAATCTCACAAAAAACCCTGTGGCGAAAAAAAGAGGGAAGACTGCGAAAAGAATACTTACATGAAAGACGATATCAAGAGTAGGAATCCAAATGAGGGCAACATGAGGAGGACGCGTCAGCGTTTCCCGATGAGAAAGAGAGCCACACCACCGACGATGCCTTTGACGACAAAAACCGGATTGGCCACAATCTGGTGCCCGAACAAAGTAGAAAGATTTTGGAGGGATGGATGGCTTGAATGGCTTGCCAGGCAAAAGAAAACCGGAGAGAAAACCAAAAGCTAAAGACAGAATAGAGAAAAAGGACAGGTAAATTTTTTCTTGTCGAAAAACGGATAGTCGTATCACACAAAAGGTACCTTTTTTCATAATAATCGAATCGACCGGATCAGATACACGCCATAGTCTGGATGATGGATGATGGATGCAATGATAGTGAGGGATTTCCAGGCAAACAGAAGAGATGCAAAACTAAAGAAGAAGAAAAAATTCGGACAAAAATATGTGATTTTCCATGGATGAAACAATAGTCACCTCACTGATGCATGAATGATGAGCTACACAGATCGAAGCATATCTGCTCCATGTATCATTCGATTACTGAAGAGAATGAAAGGGCATATACAGTATAACTGAAAGATAACCCAAATTAAATGATGCTACAAAACACCAGATCGTCGTATCGTCAATCACCTTTCTTCAAAAAAGAGCTCCACTCACATTTTATGTGAACGGCGACGATGCTCTGTTTGACCACAACTGGCGCAAACGGCATCTTGCTGCTGATTGTTTCGCCTATTATCGTGAAAGTGGGCAGCGAGGCATGGTTGAAAGATGAAAAAAAGGTTTAACAGGTCTTGATAACATAGTGTAGATCATGTGATTTACAAAATCGCTAATTTTTCAAAGATTTTAATTATATAGATAAAATAAAAATGTAGGTGTCAAATACGGAGGTATGGACCTAAGCCACAACGGGGTATATCGCTACAGTATTTGCAACCAAGCGATGAAAGTAAAGCTACCACTGTCCATTCACTGTAAACGTAATCAAAGGAACTGACAACAATAATTCATACAGTATGATTGGTAGTTCTTCCACAGGTAACTTTCAGTAATACTTTACTTTTTCTGATTTCTTGGAAAATAGAACTAGCGAAATAGGTGATTGATCCGACTTTCGTAAGCTATACACTGATGTCGATTGGTGGAAAGAATGATGGTCGACGCCAAGACAGTGGCTGCTTTGCATGATGATTCGGGGTGATTATCAGGTTCTATTTCCTTGGTAAATCGTCGTTTCTCTGAAATAAAAGACGATGGATTCAATTACCTTCAGTTGCGCCATATTTTCGAAAACCTTGATCGCAGGAAAGAAATCCAATCCATTGATCATGAGATTGGCGGAAGACAATTCGATCAGTCGATAGACCCCGTTGTAAATCAGGTCCAGCTTGTAGGTGGTACATCTGAAGCCTATATTTTTTTATTAACGAAGATAACCGAAAAGCGGTTGTTACACGCATTATTAACATACCTTGAAGAAGAATTCCCACGACATAGACGTTTTCGGATGGATCATTCCGAACCATGGAACCAAGCATGAATTTCAATTCGTTGCCGAGCTTGACCAGGTCGGTATGGACCCCAACGGACGTGCTATGTGGCCCCTTAAACTCGCCGGCAAGGCGCTCCGTACCATCTTTTTTTACAACGATATCCGGCATAGGAGCAACCATCGAAGGTTTCACCAGGGTATCTGCCGCTTTTGCTGCAACTGACAAGACCGTCGGGCTAAAAAGAGCAAACAACCAAAATAAAATAAAAATCAACAAGCTATCCGTCATCTTCAATTAATTTTTTTACTTACCCAGAGATTCTGAAACTTTCCTTACGTCAGAACAAGGCCCTCATGTACGGCATATGCGCGCATTCGACGAACTGGCTTTCTTCGAGAGATTCTAGATGATGATTCTCTTCGTAATTATCGACTCTACAAATGAAGTCAGTCAAAGACTCAGAAAAAATCATCAAGAAATAGTTGCGTACAAAATCTCTAAACAGCTTCTGAAATATTTCAGCGATGCATTGTCCACGAATTGTGTTGATAAGGTCACCATCATTTGCTCAACGTCTTCGTTTCTCTGGCTCGCCTAGTAAGCGGTCAAAATACTTCCTCGACATTTTTGGTCAATGTGACAGTTACCTTGCGGATTGATCTGATAGCTTCTATGGCCTCCAGAGGTAATTCAAAAGAGCCCTCATCGATATTAATGTCGTTGTCCACCGCAGGTTGGGCAGAAAGGGGGATGATTGGCCATACGCCATGTTTTTTGTGGAGCGAGAAATAAAATATGTAATTCAATGACCTAAAAATAAGCGTCAAGAGTTACCATACAAGTGCGCCAATGATGACTTACAATATGTCCGCAGGGTCTGATAAGTCTCTGTCTTGGCATTTAACAACGGCCTGGTTGTGATGCTCGTGGAGGATATCTGGAATGTTGGTGTCACCGATGATCCACTATGTTAACATAAATTAATCATTAGAAGAGCACTTGCAGCTGTTCATTAGAGGCTTACCTGGTCAGCTGCTAGGCCATGATTTGTTTCCTCGTATGGAATTCCCGGACCGGGAAGCCAGAAGAAATGCCGGCTGGGAATCCGTAGTCTTTCAACGATATTTTCGTTTTCATCTCCATCGGCGTCTTCGTTGTTCTCTTCCTCTTCCCTTAAGCAATCATCAAGGCCCTTCTATGTAGCTTTGTTATTATGTACGCAGCGATTAACCTGTCCGAATCTTACCAGCTCCTTCTGTGCGGATCTTCTCAATTTTGTTAATTCGGCTTGTTCTGCAGTTCGTTTTACTATAAATAATAATTTCAATTAGTGGAACTTTCTAGAGGCTTATTTTTCATCCATACACGAGGCTTTGGTCATTATGTTCTCCCCAACTTCCGCCATAGAATATGATGTTTGACACGCTAGGCGAGTCTGCTGCGCAACTTTTAACTCTTTTGGGTGACGTCCCTTCAATTGACACCAGTAACGTTCAGCTTCCGCCGAGCGGCAAATCTATGCTGTGGTTAGAATACCGGTGGTGAAGTTGCCGGCGATGCAACGAAATGCCGACCTTGAAGTTTTCATCCTTTATTGTATTGGCCCAGGCGACGATTTGTGCTTTTGTCCCCAGTTGTTTTTCCGCTATCGACTCGATCAACTGTTTGAAGTGTCGTTCTCCGACTTCCCGATTTTCAATGCTTAATTCTTCGTAATACTTCCCGATATCGAAATTTCTGTATTTTTCCTTAATGAACGAAAGCTTAGTAAAACAGGCGGCGGGGAAAAGGACAGAGTGATTGTGATATAGATGGGTAGAGACGTTGAGTACGGTGAGACTGTTGTTTATTCTCGAAAGAGATGATCTCTTTAGTATCTAGTATCCAAGGATAATAACTGGTATCGGGATTTAAATGTACAAATAGTGTGTTAACTACTCTAGTGTCTCTTATCTGCTTAAACCGAGGTAATTCTTATGTAGTGGCATATGAGCCCTATCTATACAACAGTGATCAGTAGCTTTTCACGCTTCATAATTTATGCTCGAACGCATGCCTCCTTATGATTGGCTGATCTGCCTGATGATGTACGTCACTTATTCATGTGATTTATTCTATCGTGAAGGGTTCTGTTCGTCCCACCTGAAGTCTGTAGACAACGTGAATGCGTTATCTTGGAATATAGAGTAAGCCCAACCGTAATCACTCCTGTTGTGCGCTCTTCTAGCGAGATATTTCACTATACATGCGAAGAGAGCTGGTCCATAGTCACTTAAAGTCCCAGTACGTATAATTATAGAATTTTCAAATGCTAGTTACACTTCTTATAGTCTGCTGAATACACATCAAGCCTGAAGTAGATCCGTGGTGTTGAGTTCTTCGGCTTGAACCAAGTATCATGTTCTGGAGCGTAGCTTATCCATTGTAGGATTTATTCACGTTGATCTGGAGTACCACGGTGGTCAATTGTTGCCTGTAGTTCTTCGAGTTCACCTCTTGGGAACGATTTTATCTTGAGAAATAAGCTTGAGTTCGGATCTATCATGAGGACGCCTGTTTTATCTTGGCGACGTAAGATCCTCCTTGTGTGCGACGTAAGACTGTGTATGGACCTTCATAAGCAGGTGCTAATTTATGTATGCGAGTTGGAATTTGACCATTATATGACCACCTTCGGGTTGTCAATGAGAACATGTTATCATCGAATTTTGTTTTTGCGCATTAATGTATATTTCAGCAGGTTCCACGAGAGCCGAGAATACAACATCAGCCCTATATTCTTTGTTCGCCCATTGAGTTGATCATTTGACATAGATTTGCTGGGAGTGGAAGAAGCTTTGTGATAATGCTGAAATATACTAATTTTGCAAATATGGGAGAGAAAGGTGATGAGTCGAAGGAAGACGCGAAGACGCAGACCATGGTCGAAATCAAGATCAATGGGCTCCTCAGACGTAACAATAACGAATGGACAAAAGCGGCCATCGTCTAACCTCATTTTCTCAGGAAGAGGGTAAAATTCACACAAGCTCTCCTAAAGTTTTCCTTAAGAGCTCATTCGCGCTCGAATCTGATTTCGTTTACGGAACAGGGTTCGATAGCCTCCGGACTTGATTTCATGACGCTCTCCCGCCGAAGTTACGAATATCAACGTTGCCATGTCCCTCTTCACAGACCCATTTCCATAATAAAACTCACACTAAGAAATTGTCCGTTTTTTTTTTTTTTCATGATAGGAATATATTGAAATTCAAGAAAGCGACAAGGCGTTTACAAGGATGGAAAATGTGTTTGTACATGTATACTGTATATTAGACTTTTTTTTTCATTGCTTAATAATGATAGATTTCGTTGGGTTCACGGCCACGGATGGTTGCGGGTTCAGTGCCGGGTTGGTAGATGTCGGTAAAGAATTCCTTGACATCAGGTTCGGGAGAAGCTTCAGCTTCCTTCAAAGCAGCATCAACAACCTTGCGAGCCTCCTTATCAATAGCCTTGAGTTCGGCTTCGCTGGAAACGCCGTGTTCGATGAGGACATGCTTCATACCAGTAATAGGGTCGGAGGTCGAACGCATATGCTGAATTTCCTCACGGGTACGGTAGGTGGTGCCGGGATCGGACATGGAGTGACCACCGTAACGGTAGGTAGCCAATTCCATTACCAAGGGACCCTTGCCAGAGGTGGTCCATTCCTTAGCCCATTGACAGGCTTTGAGAACAGCGAGAGAGTCCATACCGTTGACCTTGATACCGGGAATGTAATCACCACGCTTGAAGTATTCGGTGGAGGCACTGGAGCGCTTATCAGCGGTACCCATACCATATTTGTTGTTCTCACAGACGAAGACGCAAGGAAGATCCCAGAGCTTGGCCATGTTGAAAGCTTCGAATACCTGACCCTGGTTAGCAGCGCCGTCACCGTAGAGAGCGAAAGTGACGGAGGGGATACCCAAGTACTTCTGGGTGAAGGCAACACCAGCACCCAAAGGAACCTGAGCACCGACGATACCGTTACCGCCATAGAAAGAGGGAGAGAACATGTGCATAGATCCACCTTTTCCCTTCGAGATACCTGCTTCACGACCCATCAATTCGGCAAGAATGCTCTTGATGGAACCGCCACGAACGTAGGTGAAACCGTGGCATCGGTAAGCGGTGATAACGTGATCGTCGTGGGTGATGGCAGCTTCCATACCGACAGAAACAGCTTCCTATAAACCATGCAAAACAAACCATCAGAATACACATTCAATAAATGGATAGATATAAAAAATAAGAATGATGACAATGGTCGATCATCATTGAATTATTATGAAAAAATCTTGAAGAGCGGAGCAAACGTGATAAAACAGGTTGGGGTCGGAGGAATCGGGACGAATGGCGGAGGATGAGGAAGAAATTTGTGACAATTATTTTTTTCGCCACCTTTGCCCGCGTTTACCCGCAATCAAAAAAAAAAAAAAAAAAACATAAAATAATAATGAAATAAATACATACCTGACCATTGCACAAATGGCAGAAACCACGGATCTTCTTGGCCTTATAGAGGGCATCAGCGGCCATTTCCATACGTCTCATGGTGGTCATCTTGGTGTACATATCCAACAACTCTTCCTTGGAGATTTCAACTTCAAGGCTGGGCTTCTCAGCGTTATACATTTCGAAGGAGTTCTCGGGAAGAGTGATTTTGATCTTTTCCGAGTCAGTGTTGCCAGTGCTAGGCATAGCCATCCATGAAGGGGCGGTTGTAGACAGCGAGCGCTAACAAAGGGGGAAAATAAAACGAACAGTGTGAGATGATTTAGTGTCGTGCCAAGCAGTAGAGAAAAGAGAGGGATGCTTACAACAGCATGGAAAGGCTTGGGAGCCTTTACAGTGTTGGCCAACAAACGAGAAGCAGCCAAACGAAGCATAATTGAGAAGGATAAAGAAAAAGGGAAAAAAAGAGGAAAGCCGGCGAGAAAAGGAAGAAAAAAGATGAGAGGGGGACGAAAAAAATTTTTGGGTCTGACCTCATCGCCCCCGAAGAAACCCAAACAAACACTGGGGTGGAAGCTCCGGCTGCTAAACTCGCTGTCCAACCAGAATTCGAAGTTTTTTAGACCATTTTTGAAAAATTAAAATTCCGTTTTAGCAAGGTCCGCCAAAAATAACTTGCAGTTAGTCTCATAGAAAAAAGCTATATTTTGCAACTCGGCTACTTTATTCGTGCAACTGGCTTCCGGATTATGTGCAAGACCAAAAAAAAAAAGGGGGGTGGGAAAGCTTAAATGTGGGGAAGCAAATTTTGAACGGTCAGATTACAATTACAAAACGAATAGAAGAATTTCAATAATATAAAACATGTAGAACAATTTACATCTTACTAACATACAGGATTGTTAGTTGGCTCGTTTACATGGCGGACCATGTTGACGACATCAATTGGCAGAATATACAGAATAGAACAATCGATTTAGGCTGTCAATATCTTGATGGATGTCCTGCAGCTCCTCGTCAAGAAAAGTACGCACTTCTTCCTGGCCACCGCCGGACATTCGACTGACATCAATGGGTTGGGGTAAATCATCCTCCTGTGACCACAGTACTGGTTCATCCTCAAGAGCAGCCTCCTTTCCAGTCGGTGGTGTCAAATAGATGGTGGTATATGCAATCGGTTGCATTGCTTCCTTTGTTTTCGGTCCCTCTTTAGGCTTCTTCGTACTGGGTAACATCGCCAAAGCTGACATTGCTTCTCTTTCCTCGTCGGATTTCGGGAAAGGACACAGCAAATCCTGAGCATCAAAATGGCCAACATTACGCTCACATGCCGATACGCGTCGATGCCATGCCGCGGCAATGCGATCCAGTTCTGTGTGTGTCACTAAACGGCCCCAAAGGTCCAATACGGGCAAATCATTGAAGTAAGGCAAGCGGTGATCTGGCAACTGGGCGAGGATTGTGTCCCGCTGCATCAGCGGAACCTGAAAATGGCCAATGGTTTTTTGTCGACGCTCTTTTTTGACATGCGTACCGAATTCAAGATGGTTTGTTGAGAAGGATTCAAACTGTTGGAAATTCGGATAAAGCATAACATAGCTCCGCAGATACATCAGTTGAATAAAATACTTTTTCCACGACTTTTTCCATCGTTCAGACCGTGTATCGGGGACCGTGATGTTCAATAAGCGATCTTGTTGCATGTCTTCCAGTCGAACCGTCAAATAATGATGGAACTCACGCCAATGTTCCGGAAAATAAACAGCACCCCAGCTACAAGGCACCTGAGATAAATAGGGCATCCTCGATGGATAATAATCCTGTAGAGCTTGACGAGGATGAAATGGACGTCGTCCCTGAGGCCACAATTCAAGATTGCGGGGGGAGTACAAGGATACACCATACATTAGCCGGCTCGCTTCGGCATCTCCGCTGTATCGGTATTGTAAAACACTGTATTTTGCCCACGCATAAAATAAAGGAGACACTTCAATATCGTCTTCCAGTAAAACTGCGTAATCGTCATCGTGATCAGGATACCATGATTCGATAATAGCAGGCATTAAACCCCCTTTCCGGATCCGATGACGGACTATTTTCGAACCGTGGCGCCATTGAAAGCTATTGATCAGCATACGGGTGGCACGATCAGCAGACTGTTCCATATGCACCATCAGATCAACTTTATCACCAAGATAATAGGAACGACCGGTGGACTGTAAGAGACGGGACAATGAATGTGGTCGACGGTCCGTGATGACAACAAGCTTGATATTCATCTTGTGCCAATCTATGATTGCTTATTCAATTCACATTGCCGTTTGTTGTATCCAGCGTTTACTTACATTGCAAAGCGTCTAGGGATAAGTCGGCGATCCATAACGCGTGACGAATATCTTTCGACGGAAGTCCGATGGCAACAACCTGTTGATCATGGGCCATTACTTCCAAAGCACGAGTCAGTGGCCGATCGTCTTGCAGATAAATTAGGATACGCGGACGAAGGACCAGCATGAGACGGGACACCGAATCGATAACCGCTGCAGACATGGTAAGGTCATCTGTTGCTTGCAACTGCATGTCATGCACTATAGCACCACACTTCGTTTGGCGAAAAGTCTTCTCAAGCACGGTGCCACTCAATCCACGATTAACCCCTGTTACCATCACATGCACTGTCTGGTTGAAGCGGCATATGAGAGGATGCAAGGCGGAAGCTTGCTCGTGACCATCCACTATGAACATGACGGTGTCTTTATGCTCCACTCGTTGCCGAACGATTGTCTGACGCAGGTCAAGAACTGCGGGGCGCATACGGAAACCTAGCTGTTGTCGCCAACCTTTGCTTTCAGAAAACTGAGTGCGAATTTTGGTGCATTCGTGGTTCGCTTGGAGTGAAAAATCCGATCCTTGACCATCAGGAATGACGATAGTCGGAATATGAGCGTGCGCAAATAATGATTGGCTGATAAAATATGGCAACGGCAGTGCCTTTTCATCGTCAAAGACATTGATTGTCAGATGCGGTAACCAAGCTCTCTTCAATAACCAAGCACCATGGAGCATATCGACAGGTTGAGACAATTTTGGCAACATATCAAAGTCCTCTGGAAGACAAAGAATATGCGAAGCATTGTCATTGTTGAGGTTTGCAGGTAATAAAGTAGCATGCGTCCCGAGAAGTGCATCTTCATACTGCTTCGTCTGCATGAGCCGGTAAACATATTCCAAATAATGCGTTCCTGGCCGACTTCCTCCGTCCAATACCCAGACCCACGGTGTATGTACAGATTTAAGGATCGGAAGCCACCTCGCGTCGGCAACCGTTCCCTTGTTCGGCATGGACTGCAAAGGATCGACAAGGACGATTTTGATGTGTGCAGTTACCCCAATTTTGTCTCTGACCAAACTATGCAGTTTGGAGGTGCATACCACCCAAATAACTGAACTCGGTACAGTTTGCTCTAGTACTGCGTCCACTAATTGTAATCGAGATTGATCGGTAACATGGACAATGGTGGTAATTTCAGCGAGGGGTTCCTTCTGTGATTGCTGAATGAGCGATCTCAAAGCAGCACCATCATGGCCAGACGCGGTATACGTTTGTAATGAACGTGAAAAGGGTATATTCTTTCTTCGATCGGACTGAAAAGTCCAGCCATCTAAAAAAGAGTAAAACGTTTATGAGAATACAGATGACTTGGGAGAAAACGTCGGTCCTTACTAGATCGCCAGTCTCGGAATTGCGGCCATACATCTACCGGAGGACTGGAAGTAATATTCGAAGATGGTAATATATTGGAAGGCTCAACCGTATGAGTTGTTGACAGAAGTGGTTGCGGTGAGAAGGACCACAGAATAAACACCAGTGTGCATACTGTAACGGTGAACAGACGGACGAATCTCCTTGGGGATCGAATGCAGGTCATGAAGCTCCAAAACAAAACGTGAATTCCAATAACAAAGAAGATAAGCGGAAGGAAAAGGTCGAAAGGAAGGAAGGGGTTGAAGCAGGATGACAAAGGGTGAAATAATGATACCAACAGTCCACTTCAGGCGAAATCAGGGATAATTTTGCTTTTCGAAAGTTCAGGGAGACGGCAGCAACCCAAATAAGGATTGATTCGGAGTGACACAAATTCCATAATGGCACAAAGTACACACGAAACTCCGCTTCGTTTCTGACCCACTTGTTTAACTTTATCGAATTAAGCAGAGAAAACATAAAAGAAAATAAAAATATGTACAACTTAATAACTGGTAAGAGTCTATACAATAGCATGGGAACGCTGGATAGAATGCGTATGAGCTGGTTTACGACGATACCACATGTACTGAGCGAAAATTGTGGCGTCAAAGGTAAGTGTTCCGGCACTCCCAATTAAATAAGGTAAAGCTTCAAGCAGAGTACCCGGAGTGTTGTCGGGGGCTGTCAGAATGCTGGACGCGTAAGTGAAATTACCAAGTGCCGCAAAGACAAACAGGGACGGCGATAGACCTTCCACAGATTTTCGTCTCTTGTTTTTCAGAATTTGAGGAATGCGTGACATCAGGTACAGGCAAGTGCAAATCCAAGCCAGAACACGACCAATAATTAAAGGATCGTCGGCAAATACACTTTCTAAAGGCGAATCTTGATAACTGAGTGTCACTACGGATGCGGACGACGACTGGACGGTGGTCATTGAATCGACGTTCAAGAACTGGCAACCGAATAGCATCAGGCCCATCAAACCAATGGTCCTTGATGTCGAAGCGGATGATACTCGGGACAACTTTCGAGTTGCTTCAAGCGTATAGTACTTTGATAGTGAAGCTGATACAGAGTAGGGTAACAATTCATCATTGATTATCTGGTCCGACGACTGAATTAATAACGGGGTGCGCACGGAAGGATGCTGGAATGCTGACAGGATCGTTTCTTTGCTGGATTGTATGCGTTTGGAGGGCTTGCGTTTGAATTTGCTGTAATAGATCCATTGACACAGCAAACAGATATCAATACTGACGAAATAAACGCTGAGATAAAATTGGAAGGGTCGTTGATGCGTCAATATGCACCCTATCAAATTAGCCAGGTCGCCTAACAAACGATTGACATCAGTATCCAAGTGATAAGGTATTGATTCTCGACGGATCATTCCATACCGGCAAGCCAGATTGATAAGAATTTTAGACTGAGACTGTCTGCAGATCCGATTTTGTAATTTTCAACGACTTGACTAAAGAGAAAAAGTTCATTATCATGTGTTGATAGGCTTCCATTTTCTATCTTTTCCCCCTCAGGACTCTATTCCCCCCCCCCCTCTCCCCCATGCCTTTCCTATTTGTTGTTCTAATATCAAGATGCATATAAACAATACAAAAAATAAGATTGACCCCTCGTTACTTACGGAAGCTGGGCATTCAGCCAAAACAAGATTGAAAAATATCCGAGGGAGCGACTGACGGCATCTTGCGTACCATATACACACTCTCCAAACACATACTATGTTAGGTCAGGAAATTGAGCGTATGTGTAAGTAAAAGCTCATCATTTACATATGTGACCATCGTCATCATCAATGACGACGACTTACATAGATCCATTCGATATAGCCGCTACCGTATCTTGTGGGTATACATTGGCTCATTATACGCGGTCAGGGTTAGCGGAAAAGACACTGGAAAGCTTAGTTGAGAAAGAATTAAAATGGAGACATCCGTATTTAAATGTTCTTTATTTGCTTTATACAGATAAGAAAATTGCCTTTTTTGACTATAGCCGGTTTTTCAGGCACAAGTAAATTACCATGAAATGGATGTCATGAGACTCACGATGATGTGCCCTTACTGGTTCCCTTTCTATATCGCATGATGTGCATCGCATTAGCATCATTCCATTGTTACTATTTCTTTGCAGACTCAAGACCGATGAACAACTGATTCTGACAATTTATGTGTCATTCTCACTCGCAACCTTGAGCTGATAAAAGTCCGCCAACTTGGAGGCCAAAATCTTTTTTATACTTTTGCTCATTTTCCATTATCCAGCGCGCCAAGGATGTCAAAATGTGCAATAAACTGCATTTAAACTGATGCACAGAAAATGGTAGGTGACAATTTACTATACTAACCGAGTGGGGACGGGAAATTATAAATACCTGTCACGAGACTATCCTTTACGTATGGCAGCACAATGACGGTGCTCAACATCCATATGATGTACCTGGCTACACTTTTGCAAAACACAATTAGAGCTTGCAGCCTTTGTTGTGACCTTAATTTGAATTCCTTCACTAGGTCACGCAATAATGATGAAAGGACCACAAGTAAAACCTATTTTTTCGGTTTTATTCATTTGGCCAGAAGATCTTCTTTTCATCTTGGAGTGCTTGAAGGGAATCGCTAGCATGCACTGCATTTTCTTGGATATCTGTACCAATTTTGGCTCGAATGGAGTAGGGGGCTGAGCGACGTGCTTCTTGTGCATCTGTCGGACCAATAAGCTGTCTCAACTTTCGGATACCGTTTACGCGCTCCAGTAAAAGGGCTTTGCAGGGACCTCGCGTCAAATAGCGTTGTAAGGCTGGATAATAATCGCGTTGACGTTTGTCGCTATACCACCAATCCACGTCATCAGGAGTCAGTTGCTTGGAACGCTCGTCAACAATGCGAAACCGCCAATCAGACAACAAGCTTTTGATCAGTTGTTCGTGTCGAGTGCCATCTGGCTTCACGATTAGCAAGGTCTGCTCCGTAGGGCACGATAAAAAGGGAAGGGCATGGCAGATTTCCGACTGGAAGGATTCTATGCTTTCAATGCTAGAAAGGACACTAGAAGGTGAATACAGTAGAAAAGCAATAAAGGATGTGACAAAAAAAAATATCAAGGCCGTTCGTTGTTGTGTGGCAGACATGGTTGACAACATCGGTGTTCAGTCCAATCGGACAAAGCAAGAAATATCCAAATGGGGAAAATCGCGTGACCTGCAAGACTGGCTCAGGAAGACAAAAGGCTCCAAGTGAAAGCTTGTGCAAAGTTTTGCATGTCCTTCAAACGACAAGCATCGCCGTCGCAGTTTGATATCCTTACCGTTGACAGTTTTACTATGGGTGCAAAGCATAGTACACCGCAACAGTATCAGCAAACTCACATAAAGACAAAGCGAAAACGTTCCAGTACTCAAACTTCCTATACCACAAATGCGCAATCTAACGCAACACGAATACCACCATCAACGTCTTCCAATACCCTATTGCAAAGGTAAAGTTGGTCATTGTTCACATTGACAGTGCCTAGTATCTTCTTACCTCATACTATCGAATAGACAAGAGGTATTACGCGCGTTCCTGCCGGACATGGTAGAAACCATGCTAATTTATCAATAGTATGACCCATCTTTATGCGAGCAGTGGTTTCAACGATACTGCGATTCTGACAATCCGAATATTATTGGGCCTGAAGGCAGTCAACAATTCTTCCAAGATCTAGATTTATCAATAGAGAGTGTATGTATTGCGGGATTGCGGTGATATTGTATCCGAGTTATTTTTTTGGAAGACTGATTGCAGCATGTAGGTTATGGTGATCGCTCTTGCTTGGAAAATGAATATGAGCACGATGGGTAAATGCCTAAATGCCGACGCAATGATGCAAACCGCCTTTCATGTTTATTAATAACGTTTTTCGCAGGATACATAACAAAGGATGAATGGATGTCTGGCATGCATGTACTGAGGTAATCACAAAATGTCTTGATCCCCAAGCAGAAATACGTTGATATATAACAATGGTGGATGTTCCAGGACTGATTCCATCGATAAGCTACGCGGGAAAAGATCTGAATTCGAATCTCTTTTCCGCGATCCCAAACAGTTCAAGGATATGTACCGCTTTACATTCGGTTACGCCAAAAATAAGGATCAGAAGTCGATGGATGTCGAGGTGAAGATCATTATAACGCTGAAAATATGCATTGGGCCTAACAGCTTGTATTTTCTCGGAAAAAAGGTAGCTTCTGTATTGTGGACAATGCTGCTTTCGGAACAGTATCCTTTGGTGAACCACTTTGTGAGCTTCCTCCAGGCAAGTCATTTTCTGGTTCCTGACTGTTTCATATTACTAATAAGAGACATCCCCTCATGCAGGAAAAGAAACCTGTACGCGTTATCAATCGCGATCAATGGCTTAATTTTTATGAATTTGTAACTACAGTATCTGACGGCTTACAAGACTATGATGAAACTTCAGCTTGTAAGTATGTGAGCTTCCAGCCGATGCATGATATTAAAACCAAATCCATTATTAGGGCCTGTGTTATTTGATGAATTTGTTGAATGGAAACGTGAAAAACAAAGCTTTTAATTTAGATGGTTCTTTTTTTTTCGCATCTTTCTGGGAAATAACAAACCATACGACAAGCCCCCACCACAAAGCTATACAGAAATCCAGAAGATAGTGAGCGGGAAATAATCACAGTATAAATGAAAGTGGCTAAAATATATGTATCTATTTATGTTCCTTGTTCTCGAGAGTCAACTTGTTCAATGCTTCCAGATCACCCTCACTGAGCAATTCTGCTTCACGTGACTGTGCCTTTTCATCACGGCGAAGAGCAGGGAACGGTTTTCGAGGAATTTGGAATTCTTCTTCCTCCTCATCTTCGTCGAAATAACCGGACACTTCCTGACGGATTCGTGGACTAGCAGGCGCACTCAAAGGCTTCGGAATCTTGGTAAACATTTCGATTTCTTCTTCTTCGTCCGTGAACGAGTCGGGGTAGGCACGTCGAAGAGCCAGTTGACGTGCTTTGATGTATTCCAATCCCATTCGCTTCCAATCCAACAGGTCTGACAGGCGCTCGGTACGATTACGCTGGTTGATACGCTGACGACGTGTTTTTTGACAAAATCTGAACATTTGATCGCATAGCTGTTGCAGAGATTCTTCCACTGATTTCAATCGGCGATCCATGATATAAATACCATAATCTTCGCAGTTCTCAATATTCTCGTCCATGAAACATCCAAAGCCAGATAAATTCGTAGTGATGGATGGGACACCCATAACGGTACATTCGGCAGGGGTATATCCCCAAGGTTCGTAGTACGATGGGAAAACACCCAAGTGGCAACCTCGTACAAACTCCTCGTAGTCCAATCCCAAGAGAGGATTGTTTGCGTTCAAGAATTCAGGATGGAAAATGACTTTGACGCGGTCTTCAGGTCTGTTGAATAATTGCAAGCGACGAAGCTGGTTCAAGACAGGGTCTTTGGCATCGTCCACGACATTGTGTGTGACAATAGGAGGTAATGTGTTACGCTTGAGAGCGAACACACGTCGCTTAAGTAATACCTTATCTTCATCCGACAAGAAATCTTCGGGGTTCAATTCTTCTGCTCTGTTATCATAACGCGGCGAATAAAACAAGGCAAAAAAAGGAAAAGAAAAATTTCGTGAGTCGTCCACAGTTTCAGATTCGACACCGATCTTACGATGATATTTACCTCAAAGCTTTTTCGTAGATGCGTTTGCCAATACGGTCTTGGACATCATTTACAGTTTCGCGCAATTGTTTAGTGACGGCTTGACCCTTGAGTGCTTCCACATTGAAAGAGTGAGTTGCTGCCGGCATAATAATGAAGGCAACGACGGTGGTTTTGGATTTCGCCGCTTTTAGGCGCTCATTGAGACCTAATCGACCAGGGTTGGGAAAAAAAAGGAAAAGCATATGGGTGAGCCTAACACGATTTCACAGTATCGAGATGCAAGCGGTTGAATACTTACGTCCCAAACTTTCGATATACATATCCACACCCTTGTTACGGTATTCATAGCGGCCAGCCGTAAACGTATAAAGAGTATCATCAAGATCGAAATCATAATAGCCATAAAAGTGGCCTCGAACAAAGTCGTTGATCTTTTCTTTGTTCAGAGCATGCAAGTTTTGAAACTCATGCATGGCCGAAAACTTGACCACATTTAGACCGTTGGGTAACACGCCATCTAACCAGATAAGTCCAAGGCTAAGTATTCGCTCATTTATCTAAACTCATGTCACAATGATGCACTCACCTGGTTTACGTTTAAGCAGATGTTCACTTTCAAAGGCAGTAATATGACTGACGGTGGTGAAGACGTCTGCACAATGAGCTGCCCCACGCTCGATACAGTAACGGTGATAAATGCCACGCTTTCCAGCTTCTTGATCGACGTCAAAGTATTGCAGGTTGTTGTAGAAATCCACGGATCCGGCGCACAAGTAACGACCAAGTAAGGTAGCATGAGTGGTGAAAATAGTGGTTACATCAATATGGCGCTTTTTGCAGAGTGGGATGGCCACACCAGCTTGCCATTCATGGAAATGAGCAATGATAGCGGGGTCTGATGAATGATTGTACTACATAGGTGAATCTGCGTTAGTGCCTCGTTCAGCACACAGACACGCTGTACGATCCCGCTTTACTCCGTCCCCAACCCTACTATTTCCTCTCTGCAACGAAAAAAAAAAAAAAAAAAAGCAAACCGTACCTTTGGAGCAAGTGCGCCCAAGAACCATGCCACTAGGTAGCCAAACAGGATAGCATCATTGGTTTCAATATCGTTGGGGGGGCTGGGAATGCCTGCAGTACGCCAAAGATCGCCTTTCCAGTCGTTCATCTTGTCGAGTACGCTGTTAGTGTCGAACAACAGCACGTTGGGAGCTCCTTCGATAAGCCAACGACCAAACAGGTATTTTACACCGTGGCGAGACATTTCATCCAAAACTTCTCGAATTTTGGCATTGGGTGGCTCGAGAGCCTCGACCTCCATGGGAGCTTTAGCGTAGGACAGCGGACCTATCAAGCAGTATCGATCTCCGAATTCGTGCACCGTCACTGGCACCTTGGTTCGGATAACGGTGTAGATGCCTCCCACTGACGGCCAAGGAAGACGTATTAGTAAAAGAGAAAAGATGCCATGACAGTGCCGATCAATATCAAATAATCAAACGCATTACCTTTGTTTGCCACCTCCCAGGCAATTTCAAATAGCATTGGGTTGTAGACGTCGCGTGTTGGCATCTCGAAGCGTTGATAAGAAAGAGCTGACGTGATATTAATTTGAAGAGCAGTTGACGCAAGCTCAAAACGAAAGATAAAGTGGAAAAAGAAGTGGAAGTTTTCAAAATATGAAAAACTTTTGGAGATAAAGCAGAGCTAAGGAAAAAGCAAGGGATTTCTATAACTAGGGTGTCTTTTTTTTTTTTTTAAATCCGATCCCCATGGAAAAAAAAAAAAAAAAAAAAAAGTCATGGCGTGATGATCGGTCGCTTCCTTTTTTTTTCATCCGACAATGGAAAAGACGGTATGCTTGATCAGAGTAAAGCTATCTTCTCTTTCTCGTTCCCATTATTGTTATTATTAGGGTGCTTTATAGTTTGCTCTTTAGGTATAACAGTGATCAATAAAGATAAGAATGAGGATTATCGATGAATGAGATCCTTTTTTTTATGCGAATTCATACCAAATGTGGTAAAACAAGGGAAAAAATATGGGAAAATCTGAAAGCGGTCCATAAAAAGAAAAGCCAAAAAAAGAACCAGAAGATACAAAGGTTGCTGTTCAGTAGCGCAAGAGCCTGCCAACAATATGAAGACCTAAAATGGATGCGATAAACGTTAATGATAGCACTAAAGCGAGCACAGGAGCTTATCATAAGGGAAATCGAGTTTGGCAAAACTGCAACAGTTGCCAAAAGTTTCAAGCAAAAAGAACAATATACAGAAATCATAAACTCACACACAAACCGGGCGAGTCATTTGTATAAAATGCATCATAGCTAAGGCATTTCCTCCCGAAACGCCGCCGCATACTAGCTGTTAGTCACGGACGTACATACGACAAGATATCTTTCGAGATCGTAATGACCTCCATTTTTAAATTTGCTGTTCGCAACCGGCTGTTTCATTTTGGCGTACTGTAGAAAGATCTCCAGCAACTGAAAGGCCAAGTTGTAACTTTAGCTGATGAACCTGAGCTATATTTTCCCCCGATGCCTAAATGTTCTTATGATAATGTGAGACTTGCAGTGTCAGAAATGTGACAAAAGCTAATGAGTTAGAATGAGCTGTGTGCTCGGTCGCCAGAAGTGGCTGACGAAGTGAGGATTTCGGAATTTGAAAGGTCAGTTTTGATAAAAATGAAATCGACACCTTTCTGTGCCTAATGAAGCAAAGCATCATAGTACCGGCAAAGGATACAATCGGGAACGATACAATAACTTCGCTAGCTTGCTAATGGTTTAATTGACAAAATATCAGTTCTTTTGTTAAATTCATTGATAAGAAGCACGGGTAGTTTCCCGAGTGCATCTATCGTTCTTCGTCTTCGATGTTTGTGGAGTTGCATGACGAGAAGACAGCATGAAGACGGAACGAAGAATAGAGGGAAATCGGAGAGTCTGGTGGTGGTATTTCCGAAAATGGAAAGTGCTTGGCGTCCCAACCTCTGGTTTGACTCCCATTGGCGGCGAAATTTATCGAGGGAAGCCCGTCCATCCGAAACGGCAGGTTTGGTTCCTCTTCGCACAAGTAAATCCTCCATGGCCAAAATTGTAGATAGGGCCATTTGGAATGTCGGCCCACTATTCATTATCATTGCGGTGCTGTTAATCGACATGTGTGTGCTGTCGTATTATCTTATTGTATTTCCGTATAGCCACAATTGGGCCGATGCCTCTATATTCGGCAAAGCGCTCAGCTTCGTCACCCTACTTTTCACTCTTTACATGGTCTACTGTATACATTTTCACTATTATATGGCCATCATGACTCATCCCGGGGGCACCCGCGATTTGAAACGAAATACAGCACGAGCATCATCCTCACTTTCGGCAGCAGAGGTAACGATGGTCGCAGTCTCGGCCAAAGGAAATCGTCATATTCACCGATCACACAGGATCAGGAAGGATCTACTCGACAAGTCCTCTTGGAAATGGAAGAAAGCGGCAATTTTTCAGCGACTTGCAAAAAATGTAAGCGACGGAAAGGGCAGCTGTCTTCATATATCGGAATCTAACTAACTGTATGGTATGATAGGCCACTTACCCAAACCTGAACGCACGCATCATTGCAGTGTATGTAACGCATGCGTACTGCGATTTGATCACCATTGTAAGTCGCATAGAGTCTGTGTCAAATAAGAAATTAGCTGTTTATCACGAAGGCGATAGGTCCTTGGATCCATAACTGCGTCGGTCACTTCAACCATCGCTATTTTGTCTTATTCATGACATACATGGTACTTTCTGCAGCTTACTATATTGTGTTTGCTTGGCGACCATTTATTTTATCACTGGATTTTTTAAATACGGAGGTAAGTGGATGTTCGTGTATATCAAAAGTTGTTTCTGTTTGTAACCAGCGTCTAGTGGCCGTACTATTTTCCACGTCCACTGATGGCGTTTTCTCTTATTCTGTCGATTTGTATGGGCATTGCACTTGGTATATTCAGAAAATAACCCCAAAACACGACGAACGACTCATCCCTGTATTCAATTGATAGCTGCGTTGTGTGGATGGCATTACTATCTGGTAAATTCGAGCAACAACGTACACTTTTCTATAGCAGTAACTCATTTTGATTGTAGATTTGCACCGCGCAGACAACAGTCGAATTCTACAACAACTACTACGACAGAAACATTTGTAAATCTCAAGGAGAGGTAAGCAATATAACGTGAGTGGCGAAACAAGCTCCCGCGATTTACTTTGTCTACTCTAGATATTCATCAACATGTATGATTTTGGCGTGAAAGAAAATGTTCGTCGATTTTTCAACATTGGTGAGCAGTAGTAAGTAAAATGATGGAGAAAGGTAACCGGCATGACCCTCATATATGCAATAGCCCCTGGTACACTGTCCTTTTTCCGGTGCCAATCCCACCTCGGGTAATGCTGAACAAAGCCATAAGGAACATCGGCGGTTTGCTAATATTGTGGATTTAGGGTACCGGTCGAGTCTTCGAGAAATGTGAAGCATTTTACTCGTTACCGGCATCAAGGCAGCATGATCAATTGCGCTCTCAGCAAGAGATTCAGGACCTAGAAGATATAAAAGATATCTAACCATACCATTACCGAAAGATGATACAGATCTCTGAACAGTGACTTTGACAGCATAAGCATTTTGACTCTATAACACTCTTTATACTGTCAGTTGATTTATTCATATTTATAAACCTACAAGTTTCTACGTAAGCAATAAAACAAGGACTAGATCCGAACAACCAAGACAACAAAGAAAAGGGGGGAAATTTTGGTCGCATGGGAAGATTCTGCTGCAACAGAAGCAGGAGCAAAGCAAAGAGAAATAATACAAGGGGAAATCCATGCAGCAGTGTGTCTCAAAAATGTTAAGATGGAACTACTTGAAATTTGCAATAAGATATCCCTCACGAGGTCGAAGATCTGAACGACATATGCCGGAATATGTCCCAACGATGTCGATTTTTTGTCACTGTTGGTGTGTCATGCATTTTCAATTGATATGGTTTTGGTCGGCACGTAGTTGTTGGTTGCAGCGTCTGCATAATGCAATTTGGGGAAATCTCACTGCTATCGTCACTGCTGACGGTACTGGTGGTGGAGCTGAAAGGTGGAGTCGGCGGAGATGGAGACAAGCCGCGGTAATTGCGGTAAATCAGGTAACATCGCAATTGTCGAATTTCTTGAATCGGTACATAGCCTTTCTTATAGGCGAGCACAGCTAAGGGAACGTCCTCTTCACATAAGACAGGACATTGTGCCTGACGCAACTTTGGCGTTGGACATTTCCTTAATGAACATGTTCCTATATCCTTATTTCGAGCACTTCGCTCACTGATAGGAGGCAAATGATGAGGTGGCGCTCGCGTGGTAGGGAAATGAGGATTAGACATGGAGAAAAAAAAGGGAACCAAAAAAAACCAGTTTAAGCTTCTTCAAGCTTATTTCAAAAGAAAAAAGATATATAGATGAAATCACAAGGGCCAAGCCAGAAGAGGGCAAAAAAAAGAAGGAAAAAAAGGCACAAATACGGGGAACGGTGCAGGAGCGACGAATTTCAGAGGTTGGTTTTTCTCCACACATAAAACATTAATCAAGGAGACATTGTAAATAAGACGATATGTTATCGTTGGGTTTCAACGATGTAAAATAGATTTGCATATTCAAACAATGACCACAGTAGTCGACAAAGACTCAAAATCGACAGAAAGCTAAAAGCGGATGTTTGTTATTGACGTTTATGCAAATAATGAAAAAGGAATAAGATAAAAGGAAAACTCCAAAGTGAAAGAGTTGAAATATCGGATGATGGAGAAAGAAAAAGAATATAATGAAAATGAATGATTAAGATGCGGTAAAGTTATCCATCCAGCGCAATACACGTAGAAGCTCGGCTTCTTCAATGACAGGTCCTGTTCCCGAACATTTGGCTTTACTCTTCAGTTTTTGACATAATTCGCTCATGTCAAATTCTTCGATTCTTGGGTGCTCGGAAATTCGTTCCCAGACCTGAGGGTAAGGGATTAATTTCGCATCGGTGAAGACGATTGGATCTGGCGTATGGGCAAATTGTTTTTTGGTGCTCGCAGCAAAGTCATCATTGTAATCCATCTCTTGATCTTCGTTCGTAGACGATATAGTGTCCGACATTGCATAATTCGTCCCCGAGCCTGATGACATATGATCGAACAATTGTTGTTGAGGACTTAATCCTCGCTCCTTTGTTCGTTCTTCCAAAACTGAAGAAGGCAATTGGACCGGCGAGATCTTATTGTCCAGCCACGTAGGAGATTGCTGTGACGATGATGGAGGTGACAATTCTCGTGTAACAGAGTTGGGGACTTCGACACCTGCTTCCCGCAATTTGTTGATGGATAGTTGAAAAGCTAATGCGGCCCCTTTCAAAGTGTAAATTTCGGACTCCATGCGTCGAGTAAGGTCTTTCAGATCTTCATTCTCCTTTTGCAGAGCACCAATATCAGTAGAATATTTTTCCTCCAGTTCTCGAATTCGGTTTTCAAGTTCCTTCACATAGCGTTCTTTCCTTTCACGAAACGCACGTTGTGCAGTACGATTTTGTTCTTTACGACGTTGTCGTTGCTCCTGAATTGATTCCTACAAAGACTTGTAAGTACAAGTTGAATCACGAGCGTTTCTAAGATTCAAGTATTACATTACTCGAGTCGTGCTTAGAATAGGGCATCTCGTCTAACCATCAAGATTAGCCTAATTTAACAACAAAGTCGATTATGCATAGTATACCACTGTGATTATTTTCAGCATTCATGGCGGAATCGATATGTGCATAAGGTACTACAAGAAGCCAACGGTTAAACACGATCCGCCGGTTAAATACTTGGTAGAGACATTACTCGAAGTGTCGCTATTATGCATAGTCATGTCTTCCATGGTATTCCAGCTATCATTGGGGCTACTGTTATCTCTCCAAGCCGGTTGCGGAAGAGTAATTGGCGTAAAGGACGACGACCACTCTTGCTCTGATCCCGACATTAGGGACTGTGAAGATAAGAAAAGAAAGTTGAGGGTCAAATCCGGGTGCTCAAAACGGGATTTTCTATGTGTTCGGGGTTTCAAAGACTGCAGGCTGGATTCAGACGAAACCCCTCGTGCTGTTTGCTAACATGAATCCGTTCATATTCAGGAAACTGGTTGATCTTGCTGTTTAACCACTCGAATGACCCCACATTATCATCGAAGGTCTCCGAAAACTATCTTGACACTTAGAGGTTATGCTAATGGCAACCTTCACATCGCTTTGTTTGAATGGATAGGACGACCAAAGCCCTAATGAACATTACCCCTGACTCTACGAGCAATGGAAAATTTTCATGGAAAAGTTTCAGAATTGTTGCATACCTCTTTTACAGAATTCACAAATCACAGGGCTATGCTCCACTTTCCTCACCATTTTTGCAGTTTGTGTGTATTTTTTTTATTTCACATACCGATAGCATCTGAAAACATAAAACAGATTATCTATGCTTATATAATCATGCCAGCAGCTTTACTCTCTGCCACCGGCTTAATTCTCAGAGCTTACGTAAAATTCAACCATTGCCGAAATTAACCATACAATTACCGCAACAATTGCGATCGCAATGTCTTGAACACGGAAGAAAACTTGCAATAAATTATTGGTTTCTATGGTACATTGTTTTTTAAGTTGTTCTGGTTAGTCAAACGGCGTATTTGTTACAGTAGAGCCTTTCTTCAGTTAACCGAGGCCAATCAATTGTGAGGCGATGCGTGATATATCATACGTGCAAGCTATTTTATGAAAAGCCTTTTCTATTGCTGACAGCAGTAAAGATTATTGTTGTATTTTAATGGCCTTCCGCTTGAGACCTAATATTTTCCTTCAAGCTGATGTTGGATCTTTTTATTATTATTATTATTTTGCCGAATATTCGGATCCGGATTTAACAAGTTTCATGCAGTAAATGAAGATCAGCAAATATGAGTTAGATGGGTGATCGTCAAACTTGAGACACAACCAAGCGTGTGGTAAGAAACCGAAAAACGGAGCGGTTGGCCTTGTTTCACCCCCGGGGGCTTGTTTGGTGCGCGTTAAGCTGTACTTCCTGAAGTAAAGCGGAAGTGAGAACAGTCATCCGCCCTTCCAATCGATAAAGGTGCATTGACTTTGGATGTAATAGATCTATTGTATCTGATAAAATAGGGCATCCAGAAGCAGATTTTGATAGGCTGCCTGAAGAAAGACGAGCAGTTCCTCGATCTCATACTATTGCTATACGCCCTAAAACTTGGTTTTGGATGGGTTCTTTCGTAAGACACAATAAGAGTTCTCCGTTGGTGATGATGTAAGAATAGCTAGGTATGATGTTTTCTATGATGAATCTGCAAAAGCGTAGAGTTGTCAGTGTGGGAAAATCTTCCAGGTAGAGGACCAGTTCTCAGAGAATTTTTTGGAGCGGAGTTCGCCAAAGGCATGAAAGGGGACCATCGAAACGCACTGCATGAATAAAAGCCTTCCACAATAGAATAGAATAGCAACCTATTTACTCGGATAGTACAGCAGGTTGATGGGCTACGGTATCCGCGTGGCATCCAACCCGAAGGCTTTTCAATAAAATGTAAATCGAGCGGCAATTGAAATGATCCCACGACACATGCCAGATGAAGCCAGGTTTTTTTGTTTTGCAGCGTGACAATCAATAGAGCTGTGAGGGATGAACATTTGGATCCAATATAAGAAAGCATTTTGGATATTAATATCTCGGTTAATTTCTGGTTGTTGGACGCATGGAGCTCTTTGGAGGATGGAGATCTCTTTCCAGGACGAGTTCGAATCAGAGGACCTCGTACATATGAGTTGGATGACGTTGTTTAATGACCGAAGTATTAAGTGGGGAGGTTCAAAAAATTGAACAGCTCATAGGAGTTAATGCGAGAAGCCATGTTGCGCTATTTATTACACGAACTTCAGCGTTTGATATGTTCTAGGTTTGTGAGCTGGACTAATGAAAAAAAAAAAGCATATCATAGAACCAGACAAATAAAGTAACTGACAAGGAGAACTTCGCCATGTTTATTAAACCAGTCACGATTACTTGAAATCGCTGGTCTTCTTTCGAGCAGTGAGCAGAGCCGAATTTTTACTCCGCTAGATAAACCTAGTTCTCAAGATGGAGAGGTTCGAATGTGACTCGGTCACTGTGGGAGAGGTAAGCTTTCAAGCGAGCCACTACCGCTGCCAGCAGAATCATTAAACAAGAACTAATTGTTGTTTCTGCCTGAAGCCTCGTCGACCTATACCATATGCAGTTCTCAAACTGCAATTTCAACGTCTCGTGGCGCAATATGATGTTGAAGATAAGGGTGTAATATTCACCAAAGATCTACTCACGCTTATCGATCAGTATGAGAATGAACATGACGTGGTCTTATTGACGGATGAACAAAAGAAGGCGATACAACCTTACTGCCACAGCAATCCAGATTTGGAGATGACCGCCGACGATATCCTAAACCTCTTTCGACTGGTGTTCCAGCCTTCCCCTATCGCATCTATATCCGCTCCTACATCCTATCAACCTATGACGACCTCTGAAAATCACTTACCGATTATATCGGAAACCGTTTCGGTTCCACGCAAATCCACTTCGACGTCCCGTCACCGATCAACGCCTTGGAAACGGCGCCCGTCCGCTGTCGCTGCCGCTATTCAGGCACGTGATGATCGATTTCAGGTAACAGCCGGAATGGGCCAAATGCAATTACGGAAATTGAAATATTCGTATTGCCACTTTTTTGTCCTGCTAGGTTTTTCGGTCAAAGAACTGTTTTGCACCGTTTGCTTGTAGTGCCGATACCCAGATATCACCGTCGCATGATATTCCAAAACCGGCATCCGTCGAAGCAGGGGAAGAAGAAGAGGTATACATTATAACACTATCGTAAAATATCTGCATACTTATAGGCCGCATTAGGACTCAAATCAAGAATTTGCGCAATATTATCGACGATCTATTGAGCTGACAAAGCGCCTCAAATTATCAGAACGCAGTCTTGCGTCCATGACTCGTGATAATGAGGATCGGATTTTGATGCTACAAAATCGAGTCGATGATATGAATCAGGAAGTTATCAGACAAAAGAAAGAGATTCTGGAATACAAGAACAAGGAGAAAAATAGTCTCGATCAGATCAGCGCAGTAAGCAGTAAATAATGATTTAAATCAAAGACAATACTCATTATTTTATCTTCCGTAGTTGGAATCTCATATTTCTCACATTCAGCGCTCAGAAACCGATCAGAAGCAAGTCTACATTTCAATCAGAACACTGTTCGACGAGAAGTGCAGTATGTATAGCCAAACCAATTAGCTCACCGAAAACACATGAATTGACGGATTTGACGGTTCGTCACAGAGGAGACACAGGAACTGCAAGACATGCTACGGGAAAAAGAACTTCATTTGGAAAAAACGGAAGATTTCCTAAGAAACTATCATCGGGAAGTGGCCCAATTGACAGAAGAACGCAACCGCTTGATGGGTATGCAGAAAGATTTGGAAAGAGAGCTGGAATCGTCGCACCATACGCATATGCAGCTGGCGGAGCAACGATCGGAGAACGAACGTTTGAAAGAAATTATCGATAATCTCAAGTATGATCTGGACGAAGCACGAAATGAGCAATCTACGTTACCAAGCGAGGCAGCGTCACTGATCAAAGTAAGCTGTCGATCCTTTCGGTTATAAACGGGTATATGGATGTTGTATGGTAACATTATAGTAGACGCTGGAAGCAGAATTAGAAGGACAGATCCAGCGATTTTATACCGAGGAGGATGAATCCAAGGTGAGTTTTCTTAGGAACCGCATAACTGCTTGACTCTGCTTTTAACCGAATCACGAAAGATCTCGGAGGAAGAAATGCATAAGACGGAAGAAAAGCTGAAAACTGTGGAAACAGAAAAGGATTATTACAAGCATCAAGCTCATGAAGCGCTCGAAGATCTTGATAAAGGTACCTTGTATCAACATGAAATGCAGTGCATGCCAATGTCTAACCTGTATACAAATAGCGAGATCGGAACTGAATCACTTGAAACAAGCCCTTGATTCGGAGAATCAGCTGCTGGTGAATGAATTGGCCGAATTGAGATTGAGAAAAGAGATCACATTACGGGATATTGACCCGCTGAACGCCGAGAATTCCTCCTTAGTATTGGATACAGACCTGGAGTCATGTCTATTTGATCGCCCTTCAGATGATATCTGGGCACAGTCAAGAATTCGGCAGCGAAAATTTGATAAGAATAGGAAGGCACGAGGTATGTATCCAGGTAAACATATTCAAGCTTTTAACCATGCCTGACGAGTCTCCCTTTTTTTAATTGCATTATACAGCTATTCAAGATCTAAACGAGGTAAAAATTTTCATTGTCTCTGCTATCAATTTCTATCATCTCATCCGTTGAGTGGCTTGTAGTCTACTGTTACTGCTGCTGGCACGTCTGCTGCACCATGTGATACGCGAACAATGGCTCGACCAAACGACAAAATAGTCACCAACACTGCTACGTTTGCGCTATATACTCTCCTTGTATATATCTTTGGCATTGTCACTTCGACGTTCTTACTCGAGAACGGTCAAGCTGGAAGTTGGGAGCAGGCACTGGTTGCTGCTGCAACTCAACAGGGCGGTCCAAAGAACAAATTACTTGAAATTCTTCTTTATTGGATTGAAAAAATCCTCTTTGAAGGAGAAGGTTTACCCATATCATAAATTCCCCTCTCTCAATTTCTTTATTCCCACATCCAATGTTCGTTACCTCATTCTATTTAATGTTACTTCTTATTTGTCACTCTCCTCCTTTCGTCGCTGCTGATTCTTTTTTTTTATTTTTCGTTTTGTCCGATATGTATCATATTCAGAAATACACAGTGATACATATCCATGACTTAAGGCGACCACTATTTAGAAGCAACCCATGTCATTTTTAAACTACTGCCAATGGTGTCTTGATCCAATCAATTCCTCTGATCTTTTCCTGTGCTTCTTCATTGAGTCCAGTATCCGCCCCCAAAATAACGAGTGACATTGTATCCAGAGGTCAACGATTCCTTGATATCAAATTTCGCTCGAATTCTGAAATTCGTCGCATAAAGTGGGCTAGAAGAAAGAAGATCGCTTTAAGTAATAGCGTTTTTTATCACAACCAAGTAACACGCGGTGAACTCGTTTAACTGTGGCACCCGAGGGATCTTGGAAAACTCATAATTTCAAATCCCGACGGTCACGGGAAGGTGGGAATTGTTGCAAGATCAAGGTCGAAACGGCAATCGGCACTTCATTTTGTTTCTTTCACCTGTTCCCCACTTTTTTTCCATACCATGTTCATTCGTCAAGCTGTTCGACCTACCCGCGTGGTAAAGTTTTCTACTAAAATGGACTATAATATCTATACTTATCATATTTAATTTAGATTTTTACCCGTTCTTTTGCTTCCTCAACCAAGGGACTCAATGTACGGGATTACCTACTTGAACTTCGATTGACCAGTAGCAGCTCATCTTCTTTTTCTGATCTAGGACGTTGTTATTGCTAGTGCTGTCAGAACTCCTGTTGCTTGCTTCAATGGCGGCCTCAAGTCATTGTCGGCAACTCGTTTAGGTGCTATTGCTGCCAAAGCTGCTATTGAAAGAGCTGGTAATTTTTGCTATTCTGGTCTGCGGTTTCAGGCGCTGTAACATGATAATATCTAGGTCTCAAACCTGAGCAGATTGAAGAAGCCTACATTGGTAACGTTATTCAGGCTAATTTGGGACAAGCTCCCGCGCGTCAAGTAATTCTGGAAGCTGGTATGTATTGGATGCTAGCTACAAATGTGTGTCGCATATCATATTGATCCATACCAATGTCAATAGGCTGTCCTGAATCCACCGAGGCGACGACCATTAATAAGGTTTGCGCTTCTGGTATGAAGTCAGTCATGCTCGCTGCGCAATCGCTTGCTCTTGGCGATCGCCAGATTATGTTGGCAGGTGGAATGGAGAGCATGTCAAATGCACCGTAAGTGTTATTGGTCATCATCATATGCTTTTTTTCCACGGTATTTAATTTTCTATCCCCGTCACTGCGACTAGATTCTATGCGCAACGTAACATCGTTTATGGTCATCAACAGATGCTAGATGCCATTATCAAGGACGGTCTCTGGGATGTTTATAACCAGATCCAGTAAGTTCGAAAATACATGTTTGATTGCCTGTTTCTTTTTCTGACATATGCTTTTTAGTATGGTACGAAAAATACGCTTGCTTTACCTTGTGACTGCATCTGATTTTTCGCTTAAAATTAGGGTTCGTGTGCCGAGAACACCGCCGCCAAGTACAAGATTTCTCGACAAGATCAAGATGAACATGCTATCGAGTCGTACAAGCGCGCAGCTAAAGCTTGGGAGGTAATGTATTCAAGACCTGTAAGAATATAGACGGATGTTTCTAATTGAAATGTGTCTACAGAATGGTGTCTTTGATGCCGAAATTGTGCCTGTCACTATCAAAGGCAAGAAGGGCGATACCGTTGTGAAAGTGGATGAAGAATTTACCAATGTCAAGTACGAGAAGATTCCGTCTTTGCGTCCAGTCTTCAAAAAGGATGGCACTGTTACTGCCGCCAATGCCAGTACTTTGAACGACGGTGCTTCTGCTCTTGTCCTCATGACCAGACAGAAAGCTGAAGAGCTTGGTGTGAAACCTTTGGCTCGCGTGGTTTGTAAGTTATGCTGTGGTGATGTTTTGCAGTGACATGGATACTGAAGCTTTGGCCTAGCGTATGCCGATGCTGCTTGTGCGCCTATTGATTTCACCATCGCACCTAGCAAGGCTTTGCCGATTGCACTGGAAAAGGCTGGTCTTTCGGTTAACGATATCAGCAAATTTGAATTGAACGAAGCATTCAGTGTTGTTGCCAAAGTGAACGAACAGGTAAATTTACTGCCTTGTCATCAACTATGTAATTGATTTACTGAGACTAATACGTCGGTTATCAGCTTATGGGTCTTGATCCCAGTAAAGTCAATGTGGCCGGTGGTGCGGTCGCTCTTGGTCATCCCATTGGGTAAGTAGTCTTGATAATGCCGCACGCAGCAGATGTAGGGTGTACCCGGTACTGAAAACTATTTTAGCTCCTCTGGCTCCCGTATCATCGTTACTTTGACTCATTTATTGAAATCTGGTGAATTTGGTGCTGCTGCTGTATGCAACGGTGGTGGAGCTGCCAGCTCTATCATTATCCAGAGAGAATAAGAAGCAAATACCGTGTAAATTGCTCACTTTCTAGATTGTACAAAAAACATAGGAACTTTGGAGATTAAACATTTCTGATAGCATGTGATAACCCTCTAGAAGTACTTTTGAAGCGAAGTAACCCATGTCTATTGAATATTACAATGTGGTTCCCGTTTATCATTTGCAAACGCCGTGGTTAATCGCCCTAGAGCAGTCATTCCTCCTCTAGACTTTTTCCCCTGTTCCGCCTTGCAAGAAATCATTCCTATCCTCATATGATGAATAGCGTAGGTTTGCACCTATAATAAGTTTGCGTCAGCCAATTCCGAAAAAGATGAAAAGAAAAGAGTGGGGGAGTGCAATTTACCACGAACCAGGCTTCTTCGACTTCAGGTACATATTCATGCTTCAAGCGTTTCTTCAATGCAATTAAAATGGCTGGTCCGAGAACAGATAATTGATGAGGTTGCACATTGTATTGTAAGTGTCGTTCACCGAGTTCTCGAAATTTGCACTGTATCCACTTCTCATCCGCAGACAACTTTGGAGCGCTTTTCATAGAACTGCTGTTGGCTGTAATGGCTCTCACTATATCGGGTAATGATGATTTATTGATGGCGGGATCTTCACGAGCTCTTCGGTCCGCATTTATATCTTTGATACTTGATACGGGATGATCATGGGTGAGGACATTCAGCTCCTCCGTGGCAATGGCTGGTACACGTGCCATATAAGATATCATTCCAGTCAATGCTCTGGCCTGTTGACAAACGTTGCTGAAAACATACACCAGTTGTGGGTCCAAATCGAACAGAGCGTCATAAAAAGCTACACCAAAAGCATGTGCGGGTGACATTGTAGAGTCATCGCTTGGATGCCGTACCTCGGTAATCCGCTCCCAGGTAAAACGAACAATATCAATATGAGATTGAGTTGGGACGGGAACTGATATTCCACAAAGAGATACTCTTTTGGCTTGCCCGCGTTTCTTTGTCAAGTGAATTTTTCTGGCATCATCGTTCGCTAAATGAGAGGGTCAAAAACTGTTATTTGACTGAAAGAGTAACTGAGCCCGGCACACACCTTCTCCGGATGGCATTTGCAATTCAAGGTACAAATTGCAAAGTATGCGATGAGTCGAGGCACTCTACCGATGAGTGGGAGAAAGAAAACGAGTTCTAGTATTCAATAACTATGCAGGGATATTGGTTCTTTGGTGCTTAACCAGATCGGCAAGGGATAAACGACAACGTTTTCATCCATGCATATGTTGTACAGAGTGCATGCAAATCAGAACGATCTAATATCTAGAGCATTGTAGCGGGTCTTATTTTGGTTTCGAATAATCTGACTTGTCTTAAGAAGAGAGAGAGACATGTATGAGAAATCCTTAAAAACCATACGAGAAAGTATGCATCACATTGACATTTAAGGTAATCCGACTACTCTTGAGGGAAGGGCTTCCGACCCCACGAAATGTGGACGTTGTGGAATGCTTTAGCATGCTCCAGTTCATCCACAGTGGCTCGCCACTTGTCCCTGTACGTTGACCCATCCATATTAAGTAAGCTGGAGAGAAATGGTTTCATCGCCTCAACAACGTTATCCACATTTTGTTGCCATAAGATACCGATGTCCAATCCCCAAGCGCCGAATGGAATGGACACTAGGCGCCCGTCGACCTCTGTCATTCCAGCTTCTTTGAGTAAGGTGTCGAGTTGACGAGCGATGTGTGGCTGGACGTGAAAATGATCCTCGATAGAACGCAACACTATAACTTGTTGGTTATTTTCATACCTTCGAATTACTAATTTATATTGCGTACCTTTTTCAAGCCATACATCTTGCTCGAGTCTGCAATGATGAATATAATAGTCTACTTCCATCAATTGAATATATCCGCCTGGCTTGGTGACGCGAATCAACTCGGCTAACATTCGGCTCCAGTCCGAACGAGTATAGACGATCGCGCTTAGGTTTTGCTGAACGAAATCAAATGTATTATCTTCAAAGGGGAGACCATCGTACGGAATATTGCATACATGAATTTCGAGATTATCCAAATAACGTTTGCCGCGGCTATACTTCGTTGTTCTCTCAGGCCTGCACTGAGGATCCGGCATAAAACTCGGTATAAGAGGCCTTTTGGCGACGCGGTTGGATGGCTCTGCCACCAACGGCGGGCAAGAATGAAACGATTCATATAAAGGCAAACTTGTTATTTGAGGATGACGTGTAGGGATTGTAACATTGTGCGATGTTGACTGGGGAGACTGGGAGTGTTTGCTATTCTGAAAGGACATGGCGATTGGAGTTGCAGACCGTGAAACAGTTTGACGTGCTCCAGTTGAAGTTGAAGACTCGACAGGGAACACATGTTGGCTTTCGTCGTTTTCGATCGCTTCGACCGGCAAAAGATCACAAATATCTACCGCCGTAAAATGTGACTTTCTGTAATCAAGAGCCATATCAATGATCGGGTGTCCTGTCTATTAAAAATTCGATTAGACCGAAACATTCTAACTCAAAGATGGACTCATGTTATATTAACCCATATTCCAGGACCACAGCTGGAATCAATATAAAAGAGAAATTTCTTTAAATAGTCTGTGCAAGTATCAGAAGCAGAGAGACGAAATACCTTAGATTTAGCACTTTGATGCCTTGTTGTAGCTTCTCTTCTATGGTAGGTGTGATAAGAGTACTCCTAACGAAAATGATGGATTTGGCTGAGCAAAAATTTTGCAGACTCGTGTAACGACACTACATGTATTGTACCCATTGAAGGCCCAACGAAAGATATAAAACTGGACCCGAAGTCTATCTAATTCGGTTTTATCATTCGGTAGGAGACAAGCGAGTCCCTAGTAAGGAGGAATGATTGAGACGGATAACAATTAACATACACAGGTTGTGTTTGGAAGATAAACAGCAGTTGCAAGGACATACCTTTTTATTATGAAAACGCCGACCATTGAACCAACGGAATATGCCATCTATTTTTACGTCAGACGCCGGATCCGACATCACGTCGGAATAATGGAATGCGCCATGATGCAAGGTATATTTGGGCTTGTCTTTGTTTATATTGAGCGCCACTTCATTATCGTCCGGTTTAGATGAGTGTTCAACATCGAAACGCTTTTGAAGTTTTCTTGAAACTTTGAGTGGTTTGAGATGTTTAGGAACGTGTCGCCGTGATTTATGTCTAAGGGACAACGAAGAATGCGAGACATCACCCACGATATCGTCCGGCGAGTATCGTTGTGACGAATGCGATATCAGATTTCCCATTGATATGTGTATTACACTTTAGGAACTTGTTGGTTTGTTGTGGAGGAACATGCGCCACTTTTTTGCTGAATTTCGTGCTGGAAAGCAGAGAAAAGAAAGAAGAGAGATGACAAAAACGAAGCAACACAATTGTGTAGCAGGTCTGTGAGCGAGATATAAATTTTTATTGGAACGTTTTGTACCACCTCACTGAAACCCCATCCAAACACCACCGTTACGCCAATGAGGGAACACTATGCAAAGGGATTTCCCAGCTCTTCTTCTCGACCACGTTTTATTTCACCCGCTCAATTTTGTGTAACTTTTCCAATTCCGAGAATTCCTATATTTACAAATTCTTGGAAACGAACCATGCTTTCTCTATGCCGCTTTCTGCAGAAACATCTCTCCCTTTCGGTAGGTTTCGGCGTGCTGCTTTTTTACGCTGAATAATGGAAAACTGGAAGAAAGAAAACCTCTCTCGGATAGCGTATGCCACTTCTCACATTGACAGCAGTCACTTCCTGAGGCAATGTTTAAGAAACGGTAGACCCGGCTCACACGATTCTCTTGCCTTTCAAAGTCGGCATCTTCATAGATTTCACATACAGATTATTGGTGACCAATCTTTCAAAAAGACTCGTCATCGGTTTCATGAAATATATACGGTTTTGTCGCCTTCCCCAAAATTGAGTGAAAAATCTCAACCTTATTAAAATCTTTGAATTTTATTTCGCAGTCACTTTTATTGTCCACTTTGGCGCTGCTGATTGGCTAAAACAAAATAGAACACATGATTTAGGTTTTGTAAAAACCGGCATGAGCGGACCGTGTTATTATATGATTTGGTTAGTTAAACCACGCTGTATTGTTTATTATCTAGGTCCAATTCCTTTCTTTATTCCATTTCCTCAAGCTCAATCGCTTTTTCCCCAATGTCGTCTTCAACCATTTTCTGTGCTTCGTGTGGCCTGCCAGGTCATGCTCGATCAACAAATCGCAGCTGTCCCAACAATACGAGACGTGCTGAGGAAAGCGCTATTGTCTCATCACCCATCTCCTGTGTTTCTTGCGGTCTCCCAGGACACGCTCGATCCACCTCTAGAAACTGTCCCAACAACCCCAGACGCACAGAACAACCCAACGTTGCTACGATCCAAGGATCGGTAGAAGTCCGTTGCTCTTCGTGCCAGCAACTGGGACACCAGCGCAGCAGCCATCTGGCTTGCCCATTGAATCCAGCGAGGCTGGCTATGAGAGAAACAAACGAAAATGACGCTGAAGAACACAGCCGTAGATTACCTGCACCTGTTGGTAAACGCAGAGTCTGATGGATCAGAACTCCCCAGTAGACATACCTTGGGACGTATGAATGTTGTCTGCAATTTCTGCCAGGCACACATGTGGCTCAAAGAGCGCATGTCTGGATCCATCTCGAATCCACAATTCCAGTTCTGCTGTGCCCAAGGTTCCATTGTGCTTCCGCCTTTGGAGCCTACACCAAAAATCGCGCGTCTCCTTCGCAGCAACACTAAAGAAGGAAGAGATTTCCGTGAACACATCCGCGGCTACAACACGAACCTCAGTTTCACTTCTCTAGGTGCTCAAATTGACGAGTCAGAGGCCAACAATCGCAGTGGAGCTTACTGCTATCGCATCCAAGGAGGCATCTATCATCGGATCGGTGGCCTGCTTCCGCCAACGGACAACCATACTCCTGCATTTGCTCAACTGTACATTTACGACTCTGACACCCAGTTGGCAAACCGAAACGATGTGGCGCCCTATTTACAAAATGCAACACTGCTAATTCTCCAAGATCTGCAGATGGAAATTAACCCGTTTGTTCCACTGTTGCTGTCGATGGCCCAAGTTTTACGTGAGTCGGATGGAGCTGTAGACGTGCGATTGCTGATATGCGCGGAAAACACTCCCGATGCCCGCCGATACAACGCACCCACCCCAAGCGAAATTGGAGTAATTTTGGTCGAATAGCACCATTACGCCTGATAGTAGCCGCGACATTGTCATCCAGTCGAGAAGCCATGGACTTCAGCGTATCAGCGAGATGAATCAGCACTATGATGCTCTCCAGTACGTCTTAATGTTTCCGCATGGTGACCTCGGTTGCAATATCCACGCACGCTCCCCGAACGGTCGAACCATTACAGTGATGCAGTGGTACAGCTATCGTCTCATGGTACGCGATAACGGCCATGATCTCCATTTCTTCGGACGCCTGTTCCAGCAGTACATAGTGGACATGTATGCAAAAATGGAGCAGAATCGGCTGACATATCTACGGCTCAACCAGACGAATCTGCGTACAGATCTGTATCGAGGTGTCGTAGATGCAGTAGAGCTGGGTGACAATGACCTTCAGAGCGTCGGGCAACGAGTGATCTTGCCGTCCACTTTCATTGGCAGCCCCAGGCACATGCGCCAGCTTTACCATGATTCCATGAACATCGTACGTCGATGCGGGCATCCCGATCTATTCATCACTTTCACTTGCAATCCTCAGTGGAAGGAAATACAGGACGAGCTGGCTCCTCTCCAAACCGTTGTTGATCGGCCCGATCTTTGTGCGCGAGTTTTCAATATGAAGCGTAAAGCTCTGATGGAAGATCTAACGAAGAGCCATATTCTGGGAAGAGTCGTTGCCCATGTACACACGGTGGAGTTTCAGAAGCGAGGCTTACCGCATCTTCATTTACTTTTGGTGCTTCATCCAGACGATAAGCCGAGAACACTTGATGACTATGATCGTATCGGGTGTGCCGAACTTCCGGACATAGAGAGATTTCCTGATCTCTACGACACCGTCAGCAGATGTATGATGCACGGTCCGTGTGGAACAACGCGTCCGAGGTCTCCCTGCATGGAAAACGGCTCATGTAAAAAGCGCTACCCGCGCTCCTTTAACGACGCTACCATCGAAGATCCCAGGGGCTACCCTCTTTACCGTCGCCGCAATAATGGAGATGTCGTTCTCAAAAACAATGTTCAGTTGGACAACAGATGGGTCGTGCCGCATAATAGATTTCTGTGTGCGAAATACAACGCTCACATCAATGTTGAAATTTGTACTTCCTTGGAAAGTGTCAAATACTTATACAAAGGCCATGATCGAGCTGCAGCAGCAATGTATCGTGCCGACAATGACAGAAACGTCCAAGAGCAAGTCGATGAGATCACTCGCTTCATTGATGCCCGGTATGTCTCCGCTGCTGAGGCCGTTCACCGGTTGCTGTCGTTCACAAAGCATCGTGAGTATCCGAGCACACAACGCCTCGCTATCCACCTTGAAAACGAGCAGGTTGTGCAGTTCCGGGAGGACGAAAATCCGCAGATCGTTCAGATCGTCAGCACGAAACCACATTGACTGCGTGGTTTGCGCGAAACCGACTTGATCCTCACGCACGTACTCTTCTGTATCCCGATTTTCCAGAACGATACGTCTACCATCCCAGATCCCGTAGATGGGAACCTCGCCAACGTGGATTTGGTAACACAATCGGGCGCGTCTACGCTGTTTCACCGCGTCAAGTAGAGAAGTACTACCTTCGAATGTTGCTATATAGCGTCCCCGGAGCACAGAGCTTCGAAACATTCGAACAGTCGATGGCATTGTCATGCCCACGTATCAAGCAGCTGCGCGAAGGTTGGGACTTCTCGGAGCGAATGACGAATGGGAAAACTGTCTTCAGGAAGCCGCGAGTTATCAAATGCCGTGTGCTCTTCGATTTCTGTTCGCCATCATTGTTAATGAATGTCAGGCTGCTGACCCGTTTGCGCTTTGGATGCAGTTTCGCCAGCATTTGGCAGAAGACTATATCCATTTTTGGAG